TTCTGACTTTTTCCCCCTCAAAATTCTGACTTTTTCCCCCTCAAAATTCTGACTTTTTCCCCTCAAAATTCTGACTTTTTTCCCCTCAAAATTCCGCCTTTTTTCCTCAGAATTCTGACTTTTTTTCCTCAAAATTCTGACTTTTTCCCCCTCAAAATTCTGACTTTTTTCCCCTCAAAATTCTGACTTTTTTCCCCTCAAAATTCTGACTTTTTTCCCCTCAAAATTCTGACTTTTTTCCCCTCAAAATTCTGACTTTTTTCCCCTCAAAATTCTGACTTTTTTCCCCTCAAAATTCTGACTTTTTTCCCCTCAAAATTCTGACTTTTTTCCCCTCAAAATTCTGACTTTTTTCCCTCAAAATTCCGCCTTTTTTTCTCAGAATTCAGACTTTTTTTCTCAGAATTCGGACTTCTTTTCTCTAAATTCTGACTTTTTTTCCCCTCAAAATTCGGACTTTTTTTCCCCTCAAAATTCGGACTTTTTTTCCCCTCAAAATTCGGACTTTTTTCCCCTCAAAATTCTGACTTTTTTTCCCCTCAAAATTCTGACTTTTTTCCCCTCAAAATTCTGACTTTTTTCCCCTCAAAATTCTGACTTTTTTCCCCTCAAAATTCTGACTTTTTCCCCCTCAAAATTCTGACTTTTTCCCCCTCAAAATTCTGACTTTTTCCCCCTCAAAATTCTGACTTTTTCCCCTCAAAATTCCGCCTTTTTTCCTCAGAATTCTGACTTTTTTTCCTCAAAATTCTGACTTTTTCCCCCTTAAAATTCTGACTTTTTTCCCCTCAAAATTCTGACTTTTTTCCCCTCAAAATTCTGACTTTTTTCCCCTCAAAATTCTGACTTTTTTCCCTCAAAATTCCGCCTTTTTTCTCAGAATTCAGACTTTTTTTCCCCTCAAAATTCGGACTTTTTTCCCCTCAAAATTCTGACTTTTTTTCCCCTCAAAATTCTGACTTTTTTCCCCTCAAAATTCTGACTTTTTTCCCCTCAAAATTCTGACTTTTTTCCCCTCAAAACATTCTGACACTTTCTTTTTCACCCTCAAAATTCTGACTTTTTTCCCCTCAAAATTCTGACTTTTTTCCCCTCAAAATTCTGACTTTTTTTCCCCTCAAAATTCTGACTTTTTTTCCCCTCAAAATTCGGACTTTTTTCCCCTCAAAATTCTGACTTTTTTTCCCCTCAAAATTCTGACTTTTTTCCCCTCAAAATTCTGACTTTTTTCCCCTCAAAATTCTGACTTTTTTCCCCTCAAAATTCTGACTTTTTCCCCCTCAAAATTCTGACTTTTTCCCCCTCAAAATTCTGACTTTTTCCCCCTCAAAATTCTGACTTTTTCCCCTCAAAATTCTGACTTTTTTCCCCTCAAAATTCCGCCTTTTTTCCTCAGAATTCTGACTTTTTTTCCTCAAAATTCTGACTTTTTCCCCCTCAAAATTCTGACTTTTTTCCCCTCAAAATTCTGACTTTTTTCCCCTCAAAATTCTGACTTTTTTCCCCTCAAAATTCTGACTTTTTTCCCCTCAAAATTCTGACTTTTTTCCCCTCAAAATTCTGACTTTTTTCCCCTCAAAATTCTGACTTTTTTCCCCTCAAAATTCTGACTTTTTTCCCCTCAAAATTCTGACTTTTTTCCCCTCAAAATTCTGACTTTTTTTCCCTCAAAATTCTGACTTTTTTTCCCTCAAAATTCTGACGTTTTTTCCCTCAAAATTCTGACTTTTTTTCCCTCAAAATTCCGCCTTTTTTCTCAGAATTCTGACTTTAATCTCATAATTTTGACTTTTTTCTCAGAATTCTGACAGCTAACAAACATGTTAGCATCAAGCCATAGCCATGTCTGTTTTAGAGACTAGCTCTCTTGTTTTAATGACCTTCTGCTCCTCCATTAATGAGGGGACCCCTCGGGCATGTAAAAAGTTGCCTAATTCCGTCATTTTCCACCAGTGTGTCACTGGCCACCTCAAACAACTCACATCTTTGTCAGTGAAGCTTAGTGCTCCACATCTCTACCTTCATGGTGCCCATCTACAGGTGCTGGTCATAAAATTAGAATATCATGAAAAAGTAGATTGATTTCAGTAATTCCATTTAAAAAGTGAAACTTGTATATTATATTCATACATTACATACAAACTAATATATTTCAGATGTTTATTTTGTTTAATTTTGATGATTACAAATGACAACAAATGAAAATCTCAAATTCATCATATCAGAAAATTAGAATATTACTGAAGACCAATAAAAACAAAGGATTTATAGAAATGTTGGCCAACTGAAAAGTATGAACATGAAAAGTATGAGCATGTACAGCACTCAGTATTTAGTTGGGCCTCCTTTGGCCTGTATTACTGCAGCAATGCGGCGTGGCATGGAGTCGATCAGTCTGTGGCACTGCTCAGGTGTTATGATAGCCCAGGTTGCTCTAATAGTGGCTTTTAGCTCTTCTGAATTGTTGGGTCTGGTGTATTGCATCTTCTTCTTCACAATACCCCATAGATTTTCTATGGGGTTAAGGTCAGGAGAGTTTGCTGGCCAATTAAGAACAGGGATACCATGGTCCTTCAACCAGGTACTGGTAGCTTTGGCACTGTGTGCAGGTGCCAAGTCCTGTTGGGAAATGAAATCTGCATCTCCAAAAAGTTGGTCAGCTGCAGGAAGCATGAAGTGCTCTAAAACTTCCTGGTATGTGGCTGCGTTGACCCTGGACCTCAGAAAACACAATGGACCAACACCAGCAGATGACATGGCACCCCAAACCATCACTGACTGTGGAAACTTTACACTGGACTTCAAGCAACGTGGATGAAGTGCCTCTCTTCTTTTCCTCCAGACTCTGGGACCTTGATTTCCAAAGGAAATGCAAAATTTACTTTCATCAGAGAACATGACTTTGGACCACTCTCCAGCAGTCCAGTCCTGTTTCTCTTTAGCCCAGGCAAGACGCTTCTGACGCTGTCTGTGGTTCAAGAGTGGCTTGACACAAGGAATGCGACAGCAGAAACCCATGTCTTTCATACGTCTGTGTGTGGTGGTTCTTGAAGCACTCACTCCAGCTGCAGTCCACTCTTTGTGAATCTCCCCCACATTTTTGAAGGGGTTTTGTTTCACAATCCTCTCCAGGGTGCGGTTATCTCTCTTGCTTGTACACTTTTTTCGACCACATCTTTTCCTTCCCTTCGCCTCTCTATTAATGTGCTTGGACACTGAGCTCTGTGAACAGCCAGCCTCTTTAGCGATGACCTTTTGTGTCTTGCCCTCCTTGTGCAAGGTGTCGATGGTCGTCTTTTGGACAACTGTCAAGTCAGCAGTCTTCCCCATGATTGTGTAGCCTATAGAACTAGACTGAAAGACCATTTAAAGGCTTTTGCAGGTGGTTTGAGTTAATTAGCTGATTAGAGTGTGGCACCAGGGGCCATCAATTTTGAACCTTTTCACAATATTCTAATTTTCTGATATGATGAATTTGAGATTTTCATTTGTTGTCATTTGTAATCATCAAAATTAAACAAAATAAACATCTGAAATATATGAGTTTGTATGTAATGTATGAATATAATATACAAGTTTCACTTTTTAAATGGAATTACTGAAATAAATCTACTTTTTCATGATATTTTAATTTTATGACCAGCACCTGTACATTAAGATCCACAATTCTGAGAAAAAAGTCAGAATTCTGAGATTTTCTTTTTTCTCAGTGGCCCTAATCCTCTTCCGTAGCTTCTGGTATGTCTGCTCATTTATTTTTGTGTTTTTAAATTCAGAACAAGTAAAAAAAAGTTGGTTTTGGTCTTTTTAGACTTTATTTTACCTTCCTTCATCTAGAGCAGAGAGTCCCAATGTATAAAAGAAAGTGGTTACTTTTCTGAAGCTAAAAACTTTTTTGGGGTGGCTGTTTTACAGCCTGGACCCTTTAAGGAGCCCCTGGTTGAAAGATATACAACTAATAATTCTTCAAATATGCAGCAGACTTGAGTTTTAAATATTAGCAACCTGGTTTTACCATTTTAATTCTTTATGTTTGATATTTCGTCTAAATCTGTTATCTAAAAATCAAAATAAGACATTTTATTTATATTTTTAACCACTTTTATTCAGTTGAAATTGTGTTTCTTAGATTGGTTCAGGTTAAAAAGTTAATGTAAAATAGTCTGTTTTTCATTTAAGAGTTTTTTTTTAGTTTTGAAGAGCAGAATTATTTTAGTCTTGATAAGAAGTTTTAAAAACCTAATTTAATTATTCTCAAGACTCCTTGGGAAAAAATGACTGGAAACATTAAAATGAAGAGTTGGATAGAAAAGTTTTAGAGGTTCAGCAGCAGTTTGATAAACATTTTTAGTTACAGGTAAGCAGTCCAAGCAAAGCACTTGGATTTGTTAGTTTAGTCTTTAATTACAGATACGTGTCGGATTAATGTTGTCCTGTTGTGTTCATTTGGCTTCTCCCAGTGTGCAGCTTTAGCAGCTTGTAGATGACATGGTTATGCAATCTGTCATTTATCCTGCTGTAATGAGACCTAAAGCCGTGTAGGAGTGTCCCTGTTTATGTTGGCACTGGCCTGCTGACAGCTTGGATTAGATGCTTCAGGGAAGCAAGGTGGAAATTCTACTGACGGAATCATTTAGCTTCATGTTTAACCCACTTTTTTCTGAAGAAGTAATTTTCTATGAAGTGAATTTTGTTCCATTATTGTTTCAAGCAATATTATTGCTTAAATCCTACCAGTAGTGAGCTAAATATGAAAGGTTCTGTCTTAAAAGGGAATCTATATAAGCTGAACTAATACTACACACTTTTAAATCTTAATAAGTAATTTTTTTCCTAAAATAAGTGCATTTTTAGTTGAGTTGAGGAGAAAAAAAAACAAAGAAATCTCTTTCCACTGGCAAATTAACTTATTTATGTACTCGAATTAAGAGAAAATAGGCGTCATTTTTACTTATTTCTAGATAGTTTTTCCAATGGGCTTTTTATTTCTCTCCCATCAGAGTTGCCTTGTTAAAGAAAAGTGGTGAGAAGGACTGGAGGGAGAGGATCAGTAAGAAGCAGGATGTGGCGAAGGTTGCAGCGGATGAGCAGCAGGCCCAGATGTGGGAGATGGAGCAGAGCTTCAGGAAGAAGGTAATCACCTCACTGCTGAGTTAGCGCCGCACGCGGCTGACCGCACACATCATACGCACCATTTGTCTGAATGCTGTTCAATCTGTATGTGCGTACAGTTATTGCAGCAGTGACATTTAGTAGTGCTACTGTCTAAAGTGACTCCAACATCATCAGCCGGTATAGACTGGTCCGAACAAAGCTTTGAAGAGGTTCTCCAGGGTTCAGAACGTTACGATCAAAGAAATATCCCAGCCTTTTAATAGTCGTTTGTGGAACACAATTCAGGATTGTCATGCAATGATAACTTTATATACCTCCAAACAGTTAGGCGGTCATCTGATCTGTTTGTTTTTACATTTTCTCTGTTTTATGAGCCCGGTGGATGTTTTGTTGTTCCTGGACTGAATGAGCATCTAATCTGCACAGATCCCGCTGCAGGAAAACGGATGCTATAGTGTCTCTTTATCAGCTTGTCAGCATTTCATGGCCTGACCCCTCTCACTGGAAAAGTACGGAAGCCTGTGGGTGCCAAAACTGAAATTTGGACAAACTGGAGAAATTAGGGCAGCACACATCAATAGTTCATGTTTTAGATAAGAAATTATGATTTCTGTTAGGAGTTAAGTAAATGAAAAATAAAAACGAAGTGCTCATGCATCATGTTTAAACACTTTTACAGTAACTTCTGAGGCTAGAAATAATAAAATTGGCAAGATGGCTTTTTTGTTTTGTAGTTTCAGTTAAGAAAATCGAGAGAGCAGGTTCTTTAAATTTTTTTTTTAAATCTCCATATTTAAATATTAGCCCAGACTGTCAGATTTAAGAATGTAAAAACATGTTTTAATTTTCAATTAGATAAAAATATTTTATCTTCTAACTTCTGTTCTGAGTCGAGACACATTTCTGTTGGTCTGCATGGATGTTAGCAGCATTTTATTTACTCACTGGTCAGGAGGAAGGTGTTTGTTTTGGACTTAAAGTGAAGAGAATGTGATATGGAAAAAAACAATCTGAAAATCACATATTTTTTAAAACTCAATCTGAAAGAGACATTTTAAAAGATGAAATTCAAAACTATAAAATGTGTAAAACTAAATTGAAAAGAAAATTTGAAGAACGTTTTAAGTTTCTAAAAAATATCTGAAAAAACGTCAAAGTTTCGTTTTTTATTTTGTTTTTTTTTTCCATTTACAAACTTTTTTTTTTGCTTTTAACAATGATGGAACAAAACACAAAAAACAGCTACAGCCTTGTTTACGAAGCGATAAACAGCTGTTTCACATATTCAGTCCTTAAGAAATTGCCGTAATGTTCATGTCTAATGAGTTCTAGATGAAGGAAAATAAATGGCGTATTCAGAGCACTTTATTTCCTGTGAAAGTCAGATAGACGGTGAGCATTTTCCTGAAGTGGTCTTGGATTAGGATCTTTTGTGTAGGGCTGAAACCAATAACCAGATCAGTCGTGATTAATTTACTATTATTGTGAACTAATTTGCTAATCAGATCATAATTTGTATAAAGGCACACAGACTGTTAAACAGGCCTTTTGCTTAAAGAATAATTAAATCAACCTAAATGCCACTCTAAAGTCAGAACCCTACGAATTATAAACTAATAGGTTGCTCCTAAACATAATAAATTTATGGAAGAGGATTAAGGGCACTGGAAAAAACAACAAAAAAAAGACAGTTAACTGATTTTTGAATTTTATTTCAGTTTAGTATGGGGAAAAAAGTCAGGATTCTGAGATTAAAGTTAGAATTCTGAGAAAAAAGTCATAATTCTGAGATTAAAGTCAGAATCTGAGATTAAAGTTAGAATTCTGAGATTAAAGTTAGAATTCTGAGAAAAAAGTCATAATTCTGAGATTAAAGTCAGAATCTGAGATCAAAGTCAGATTTCTGAGATTAGAGTTAGAATTCTGAGATCAAAGTTAGAATTCTGAGAAATAAGTCAGAATTCTGACTTTTTACCCAGACTAAACTGAAATAAAATAAAAAAATTACTTAACTTTTTATTTCCAGAGGCCCTAATCCTCTTCTGTATAAATTAGAGAATTAAATTCCTGACATTTTAAATATAGAAAAAGATTAAAACGCAAAACGAAGAAAAAGAAGCGATTACATAAAGGTGCATAAATGATATTGTAAAGATCTACTGTCATGTTCTTGGTTTTGTTATGCTTTACTTTGCTCCCTGTTTTCTTTTATTGGTTTATTTCACATATTGTTTTTTCTGGATATATTTTAGTTCTCAGGTTTTTCTTTGTTGTCCTCTGTTGCCCTCTTGTGTGTGTGTTCCTTTTCCCTTGGCTTCCTCGTTGTCTCCACTCACACCTGCTCCTTATCTGCTCGTTAGCCCTGCCTTTGTTCAGTCAGCCATAAATATTCTCCTCTGCTGTCACTTTTTGCTGGTTCCTTGTCATCGCTGGTTCCTCGTCGCTGTTGCTGTTTGTTTTCCCCTGATGTCTCCATGGTTCTGGTTTGTTTTACATTTTAAGTTGGATTTTTGGATTCCTGCCTTTGTTTACCGTTTTCACCAATTAAACTAAGAAATCCCCTCAGCCTCTCTGCCTCTGCATTTGGGTCCTCAGACCTCAACCAAATTCTGACATCTACACATCGGCGTCGCCAGACCCCATTTACTGGGGCACGTGCCCCAGTATAAATGAGCTGTGCCCCAGTATAAATCTCATGAATATTTGCAACAGTATTACATTTTTTTAATGCATCAATTTAGATATTTCCAACGGAAGGAGACGTATATTTCTACTCAAATGCGCAGCAAGTGTGTTGGTAACTCCAAATTGAGGATGTATTAGCGCCCCCACGTCAGCGCATGTCACTGCATGAACTGCAGGTAAACTAACACGCCGCTCTCAACTGAGTTGGATGGGACACTGTGCAGCCACGACGCATTTTTAGTTCTGGTAATGTTTCTTACCTGTCAATTTTATTATTTTCCCAGTGAAACCACATGATTTATAGGCTACTAACTGAAAATTACTGCATTGGTTTGTAGATGGATAGCAGGAAATTCCTCACACGAAGCAGAGACAGGGAAGCAGTAAAACAAGATGAGAGAGAGGGAGGTAAGGTCCCGTAATGAATTAGTGATTTAATGTAACCAGTTACATTAGGAACGTTATAAGTAATATGATAGATATTTACATAATTATAAATTTGCGTTTTTTTTTATGTTTGCTGTAGAGAATGAGAATGCAGGTGCTGGAGTAGGAAAGGGAGGAGGAGGCGAGACTGACTGGCAAGAGACAGGAGAGACAGGTGAAGGACAGGAGAGACGGGACCATGAAGGTGATGAGGATGCAACAACCAGCTTCCACAAACAAGAAGGGGACATTAGGGACTTAGGGGGAAAGCATGATGGTCCTAAACAAGTGAAGTTGTCCCACTATCCCCTGGGGCAAATTTGGAGTAAAAAAACGTTAATTTAATTCAAAATGGTTTGAGCTTTTCCTGGTTAAAAAAGAAAGCCTTGTTATCAAGGATATGCAGTGTGTTTTCAACTTGCTTGATAACATCATATTCCCAACACTAAAGCAGGTCATCCAGATCTCCCTCACCATCCCAGTCTACAGCTGTAGTTGTGAAAGGTCATTCAGTGTGTTGAGAAGGATCCACACTTGGCTGAGGAGCACAATGGGACAAGATAGGCTCCATCATCTTGCTATTTTATCAGTTGAAAAGGAAGAACTTTCTAAGCTGAGTCACAAGTGATTGACCACTTTGCAAAAATGAAAAATAGGAGGTACACTTTAATGCTAAAAAAATAAAAGGAAAACTTAGTTCGGGTTGAGTTAAACTTTCCCCTGAACTAAAACTCGGAAACCTAGGAATTAATGATTACTTCAGAATGTGTATAAGGAAACTTTTTATTTTTAAAGTTGTTGATGTCTTATTTTTTATAGCTGCAATGTTGAAAATGTTCATGTTTGTTAAAACAAATATGCTCTTATACTCATTAATATCTCAACTGGTAATTTTGGTAGGAATGTATCAGGGTTGGGCAGTGTGCTTGTCTGTATTTATGTATGGAAGGAGGGGCATATGCACTAGGGGGCCAGTGCCCCAGTAAAGCTTTGTGCCTAGCAACGCCCCTGCATCTACATATATAAACATCTTTTAGATTTTTTAGGTCACTTTACCTACCAAGTAAAATCAAGTTTAAATACACTCATTAAAAAAACAAATGTGTTGTTTTTTGTTGACGTTCTGCAGTAATATGTCAGAATCTGACCCTTGATCCAACAAACGATTCGACTATGATTTCCCCTCTGCTGGTAGACCGCATTTATTTAAAGTCTCATAATCACATTTCCTCAGACTGTCAGAAGATCGCAGAAAATGTACGTAATTCTCAGTTGCCAAAGTGTTTTTGTAAAATCCCTGATGTTGATATGAACTCAGGCTGGTTTGGAACGGGCACAGAACAAGCCTGGCACCGTTCTTAGAAACGTCATAGAACAAATTATTATCCTCATAAAAAATGAGACTCTTCACTGTATTTTGCATCTTATATTTCACTGTCAAGTTTCTGTTTGCATGTTTTTTTACATTATAAGAATAAACCAGTTATCTATCCCTGCATGTTTTTCCATTTCTCCATCAGCAGCTGTTTTTAAAGGCAGGCGTTAGGACGGCTGCCGTTCATGTTCCTCTGTTTGGACGTCTTCTCTCCAGCTGCTACTCTTCATGTTTCCAGCTGCTTATCGGTGTTTAGCCAGTCGCACCGGCAGCTCTGCAGGCAGAGGGCTGACGTTCAGATGATTTAATGTCAGGCTGTTGTTCTTCAGACGCTGGGGGAAACGGATAAAATTTAATTTACGCAGATGGTTTAGTAATTGATGGAGGTTATATGCAGGATAAAGAGAAGTACAGTCCGACTTGTTTGACTTGTTTTATCCTCCTTGTTCAGCCAAACCTGTGGATGACATTTTTAGGTTTCCTGAGTTAGATCGAAGAAGAAAAGTGGGGATGAGGTGGAAAAAAAGCAGAATGATGCAGGACTTGCTGGGATTTTGACCAATGAATAAAATGCGTGCAGCAGCAGGAGAGCTTTCATTAAATGTCCCTTTTCTTTGGCTGTTTGTCTGTAGGATGATGAAGCACTGATGATGACTGAGGACCTGTTTCGGGTAAGGCCCGACTGAAAGCCCTCTGTCATGCAAGCACTCTGGTGTTGTTTGGTCTATCACCTTGATTCTGATCAGAAAAGTGATCAAAAGTTTAGATCCTTCACCGCCGATGTGATGGTTTGGTTTGTGCGCGTCTCCATGTGGTGGTGGTGCCATTTTATTCATTTTCTGATAGTGGGTTACACTATCTGGTCTGTGTGTCTGTTTTCATCCAGATTTCTTTTCAATGACTTCTATGTTGTACATTTTGCCCCAAACTAATCTTTTTATCTTCAATGAAAATGAAAAACAAAACAAAAGACTGGCTTAAGGTCGGTTTCTGCTTAATGGGGCTACAAGATCAGCTTGACGTAGTCACCGCTGCACTCCAGACCGCCTGCCCAAAGCAAAGCCTGCAGCCTCCACGGTTCCTCCCGCTTAGTTTAATATGATGCATTTAAAAAATCCCCATCAGCATTCAGCATATGTGCAGTTTCTGCCCAGATATTTTATTTTTGTTGTAGATTTTTGTAACGGACAAATAGGATCATTCAAAACTGCTTTTTTTTATGAACTGTTTGTTCTCTACTAAAAGATGATTTATTATTTAAATTTTAAAACCTCTCCATTGGCTTATTTCAGTAGGATAATATCTAATCATCTTATTTTATCTGTAAAATTAGTCATTACATTGACAGATGATCTTATTTACATGCTGAAATTCAGGAGAAACACACTTATTTTAAAGCTACAGTGTGTAATAATTACAGGGATATACAGTCAGAAATGTAATATATTATACATAACTATGTTATTTATCATCATCTACGAGCTCAGCCTCTTAACCTTAATATTTGCGTTGCCGTAGAATTCGTTATTTATAATTACATAGGAGCGGGTCTCGCAGCCATGGAGGCAGACATCTTTGCGCTACGGCAGCGCAGAGCCAACAAACCCGTGATTGCGAGATCGCCCATTACGCTCGAAAATAACTACGGCAAGTTGAGAGAGATGAACTGAGACGGTACTGAACAATAAATGGCAGTATTAAAATTATCTATGTAAACAAACCTCATCACTTGAGAAGGTAGGTGATGCGGACGTCGTGGAAGACATTTTGTCCCTTAATGCTCGCCGTACTGTTGGGGGGGAGAAGCGGTGGGGGGGAGATGTTCAAATTGCTGCAGTCTGGACTTTAGATGTCGCTGAAAATTCCACACTGTAGCTTTAAGACATTTTCACTTATTTTATTCCCATATTTTTCATGCCTTTATGCTCGACATTTATGGGTGTGTTTTTTTAGTGGTTGCATGCTAAGAACACAAACAATCCTCATGACGTTTAAAGTGCATAGCTTTATCAATCATTTTGGCTAATTGAAATAAGAAATGATGGTGCTGTACATACAGGCATAGACCATTGCAGAGTTTTCAGCATACAACCGTTATGAAGGGGTTACACTTTTATTTACTAATCCAAAGCTAAAAAAATTAGCTGCCAGAAGTTTTTGTGGAATTGCATATCTGGAAGAGATCAGGTATACATGAGTGATATAAAAGAATTTGTTTCTTAAAAAAAATTATTAACCCTCTCAGGCTCAAATTAAGTTGTAGTTGCTGGAAAATTCTGATATTTGGACTAAATGATCATATGGGGTAGTAATATACAATTCAGACTTTTATTTTGAAAGAGACCTTCACATGCAATGAATTCTGGGATGTTGCAGATTTGCAACAGTGGCCCGGAGTGGTAAATTAACACTGAAGACTGAATCTGATATGAACGTTAACTTTATTTGAATGTCACAAACAAAATTAACAAAACAAAATTCGAAAAAAATTCCAACGACATCTCAAAACCTCTTGAGAAGTACGTTTCTGTTAAACTGTTGCTCAAAACATAGGCAAACTAGTAGATAAAGCATGTAGCATCCATTGGTACCTGTTTGGGCACACGTTGCAAATCCACAACATTGAAATCAAGATGCCTCTGGTGAAAAACTCAGAGGAGATAAAATCTACTAACTGGCATGTGTCATATCTATACACATTCATGATACATCTGATGTAGTATTAATTTCAAAATAATGGAAATTGGTATTGATACTTACATGAAATTGGTGCTTAGAGAATCTTTTCCAGTGACACCAAGGACTCAGCCATGTTGAAAGTGAGTCAGCAGTGCCATCTGGTGAGCTGGAGAGAAACTGTTTGTTGCAAATGCACAACTAAGTCCTTCTGTTGTACTTCTGAGTAACAAAAGCTTTAAAAATATGGATGTTGAGTAATTAGCTAAGTAGCATTTAACTGTTGCAAATCTGCAACATCTGCCTGGAGAGGGTTAGCCTTTTAAACAATGTGGAGGACTCATGAATCATTCATAATTCATCAACCTCTTGTCGCTCCAGAACAGGACTCATCCAGCTGCCCTGCCCTCTGTTTTGCTCCAGTCTCTGTCCATTTTCTCTCTCCTATCATAAGGTAAATTCCAATTAACTCTGTAGAATCCAGGTGTGTTATGCTTAGTTGAAACCAGCCAGCAGCAGATGGGAGCTCCTTGTAGTTGATCATACAGTGAGGCAGCAGGAAGGGCGCTTAAAGATCCAGGGGCAATCAGGAGACACGCAAATCTAGGTTAAAATAATTTCTTTCCATCCATCCATTTTCTGACACGCTTATCCCTGCTGGGGTCATGAGGGGGGCTGGTTCCTATCTCCAGCTGTCCATGGGTGAGAGGCGGGGTATATCCTGTCGTCAGTCCATCTCAGGGCATCATTGATTATGATTTACATGATTAAGATACATTTTTTGGCAATATTGATACATCGTTTATGAATAGTCCTCCTGTAAATATTCTGCTTTTGACCTAATAAAAAACACTATCCATTGCACGGTCTACACGGTCTACGTCCCTCCTTATCTGCTCACCAATGTCGCTTATAACTCTGTAATCTATCCCGTTTTTCCTGCTTGAACTCGTTAGCTCGGGTTACAGGGTTCTGACGACATCCTGGCTTTCCTCTTTATCTTTCTATACACGTCAACCTAAAGTCTGATTAACTTTTCCGCTTGCACAGACTTGTTTTCATGCTAAGCTGTTAGCCGAAATGCTAGGCTAATGTTAGCATGCTCATTTCCCGATTTTGACACGACTTTAATTTGTAAAGTCTTTTGATGCATCTTCAGCTTTTAAAACAAAATTTCATATCAAAGGTTGATTTCATGTCTCTTCAATTTTTAAACGTTTGTTTTGAACATCATAAAATGTAATAAATATAATTTCAGCTGCTTTCCTCTTGTTTTATCGGCTGTGTAGCTAATTGCAAAGGGGAAATAACCATGCTGCTTTACTTTTTTGTGTAATACTGAAGGAAAAATGCACCATGCCCAATTTTATGTTTTTGCTATCCAAATCAAAACACTAAATGTTTTTTTATTTTATTATTATTCTATTGATGGTTGTTTTTCAAGGAAATGATTAGCGAGACGGGTGCAGGTTAAAATTTGTCAATAATTAATTTATTTGACAGACAGGTTAGGAAAGACTTCATCATGATGACTAAAATACTCAGGAGTATTAAACAATTTAAATATGTAGGGTAAATAATAGCGTACACAGAGTTTTAAAAGCTGGCAATACTGATTAGTTTTTGTTGTGACGCCATTTTTTTGTCGCTTCAGTAGGAAGACTGTAGAGATTCCTGAGGATACTGGTGATGGCTGCACTTAAACTCTATTCTGCATTGATTGGAGTCTTTTCAAAATGGGAAAAACCCACTGTGAAATGATTAAAGCTCTGTCGTCATGGAGATACACATTTATTCTCTCTCTGCTGAACATCAAGCACATCTTGTGAAGAAGCAACCGGTTGTAACGTGCACATCGCTCCACGTATGCTTTTACTTTTAAAAATAGATTTTACAATGAAGACAGGAAGTGCTTTTAAGGGTTGTCTGGTAACGACGGCTGGAATATCAGCTCATTTGTGCAAACAGATATATATCTGGGTGTACATAAATAATGTAATTATGGTATTAAAATTAGTTATTTTTTATCCTTAACTCACTAAAGAAAGCTATAACATCTTTAAAAATGTTCTGGGACTTTTTCTGAGACAATTTAATGTTTAATTTCTTATAATATTAAGCAGGTCTTTAATTTAATGTTTAAAATAAAAAAGGCAGCCTTTTATGTCTTTGTTTTGTGTAATTAAATTTTAAAAACTTAAAGGAATTAACCAGCGGTTCATTGTTTTTTTTTTTGTGTGTTTTTTTCTCCATTTTGAAACTGAAAACCAGAAATGAAACCATACAGGAATTTTACAGCCAACGCTTTTAGAATTTCCTGATTTTCACTAGAAGTGAGGAATCAAACTTTACAGATGAGAGATGATAGACCAGCAGAAATAATCCCTTTTTGGTTGCGCTGTCAGGATTTAAATTATTAGCTGTATTTTTCCCCTGCTGTCCACTACTGTTTTACCACTACTGTACATGTTTGTAAATTTCCTCTTTCTGCTCCTGATGTAGGAGCCGGTTTCTGCTGTGACTCTCTCTCCTCCCGATCCTTCTTTCCATGCCTCTTCCCCCGACGACACAGCCAGCCAGGTAGGAAGCATCAGGTCCTGCAGTCTGCATGTTTTTTTTTTTTTTGCTTGACTGCCTCACTACATGCTCAATATGTTTAATTGAACTAGCATAGCCATACATGCCCAAACAAGTTTTAAAACTCATCAGTTTAGGGATAAAATTGAGAAATAATCAACTGATTCTCAGTGATTAACTGGATTTGCTCTGTCAGGTTTTCTGCTTTTATTGCACAAAGCATTGCTGCTAAAGCACATAATGATCGTCCGTCTTTCGTTATCATTTTAATTCCATCCATTAATGTCTGTAGTGTGTGGCATCGCAAAGCCAGCATCACACCGCCTGCAGCTTTTGCTTCTCATGCAGATATTTTCCCCATATTTTCATCCTCATTCGTTAATGTCATCCTTTCTCATCCTTCCATCCATCCGTGTGATTGTGAAGGCCACCAGATCACCCAGACCCTTGCAGGTGGATGACAGACACCCCTGGAGAAGGAAGGTGACCCACTTAATAAACTTCATGGTGCTCTAACAAAGTCGACGCCCCCTGTTATGTCATTCAGCACTGATCCGGTTCTGCCCAAATAGTCCTATAGCTCAGCCTGATTAACTAGACTAGTGTGAGGTTAAATGTGTATTTTAGTCTGGCCCCGTTGAATGAGACATTGGAAGATTGTTGATGAGAACAACCATGTCGGTGCCCATTGGCCAACGCTCTAACCAATGAGCGCAACTGACTGTGACGAAGTAAGTACGACAGAAAGCTGGTGGGGGAGTGTAAACAGACTGTCGATAAAACGGCGAATACGTCCTTCTCAAAACTGACTGAGCGTAGAACCTCTTCCTGCTCACGTTTCAACGAAAATCCCAAGTCTAATCCTTCCAAAACTACGGAAGAATACGGAGCCCCTCTGATGACATGGTCAAAAAAAATTTTTTGATTGTGGTAGTATTTCGTGGCCACGCAATAAGTATAACGTGCGCACGAAATACTAGTTCGTGGCCACGCAATAAGTATAACGTGCGCACGAAATACTAGTTCGTGGCCACGCAATAAGTATAATGTGCGCACGAAATACTTATTAATAATATTAATATCATTCCTGGATAACTGGGTAAGCAAATCGAGCGCGCCTTCTCTAAGGTCTAAGGTGCGCTCGATTTGCTTACCCAGTCGGTCTCCGCCAGTCACGTGACATTTGTTGCTAAGACACCATTTTAGGTGGAAAAGGCGTAGTGTAAACAACCGCAGCATAGCTAAACGAAGGACTAAAGGCCCGTTTACATAGCAGCCTGTCCAAGATAAGTCATTACAGTTAACATAAGCCTGAAAACAGGGGTGGATTTATTGATATTATTAATAAGTATTTCGTGCGCACGTTATACTTATTGCGTGGCCGCGAAATACTACTTTGTGCGCACGAAATACTACTTCGTGGCCACAATTAAAATTTTTTTTCGACCATGTCATCAGAGGGGCTCCGTAGAGAGGATTAGGGCCACTGACAAAAAAAAAAAAAAGTTAACTGCTTTTTACATTTTATTTTAGTTTAACATTGGAAAAAAAAGTCAGAATTCTGACTTTTTTCTCAGAATTCTGACTTTTTTCTCAGAATTCTGACTTTTTTCTCAGAATTCTCAGATTTTCTCAGAATTTCTCAGACTTTTTTCTCAGAATTCTGACTTTAATCTCAGAATGTTGGATCTTAGTGTAGATGGGCACCATGAAGGAAGAGATGTGGAGCACTCAGCTTCACTGACAAAAATTTGAGTTGTTTGAGGTGGCCAGTGACACATTGGTAGAAAATGACGGAATTAGGCAACTTTTTACGTTACCGAGGGGTCCCCTCATTAATGGAGGAGCAGAATGTCATTAAAACAAGAGAGCTAGTCTCTAAAACAGACATGGCTATGGCTTGATGCTAACATGTTTGTTAGCTGTCAGAATTCTGAGATTAAAGTCAGAATTCTGAGAAAAAAGTCAGAATTATGAGATGAAAGACAGAATTTTGAGATGAAAGTCAAAATTTTGAGATGAAAGTCAGAATTCTGAGAAAAAAGTCAGAATTCTGAGATGAAAGACAGAATTTTGAGATGAAAGTCAGAATTCTGAGATGAAACTTAGAATTCTGAGATGAAAGTTAGAATTCTGAGAAAAAAGTCAGAATTCTGAGAAAAAAGTCAGAATTCTGAGATGAAAGACAGAATTTTGAGAATTCTGAGAAAAAGTCAGAATTCTGAGAAAAAAGTCAGAATTCTGAGATGAAAGTCAGAATTCTGAGAAAAAAGTCAGAATTCTGAGAAAAAAGTCAGAATTATGAGATGAAAGACAGAATTTTGAGATGAAAGTCAGAATTCTGAGATGAAAGTCAGAATTCTGAGAAGAAAGTCAGAATTCTGAGAAGAAAGTCAGAATTCTGAGAAGAAAGTCAGAATTCTGAGAAGAAAGTCAGAATTCTGAGATGAAAGTCAGAATTTTGAGATGAAAGTCAGAATTCTGAGAATTCTGAGAAAAAGTCAGAATTCTGAGAAAAAAGTCAGAATTCTGAGATGAAAGTCAGAATTCTGAGAAAAAAGTCAGAATTCTGAGATGAAAGACAGAATTTTGAGATGAAAGTCAGAATTCTGAGAAAAAAGTCAGAATTCTGAGATGAAAGTCAGAATTTTGAGATGAAAGTCAGAATTCTGAGAATTCTGAGAAAAAGTCAGAATTCTGAGAAAAAAGTCAGAATTCTGAGAAAAAAGTCAGAATTATGAGATGAAAGACAGAATTTTGAGATGAAAGTCAGAATTCTGAGAAGAAAGTCAGAATTCTGAGAAGAAAGTCAGAATTCTGAGATGAAAGTCAGAATTTTGAGATGAAAGTCAGAATTCTGAGAATTCTGAGAAAAAGTCAGAATTCTGAGAAAAAAGTCAGAATTCTGAGAAAAAAGTCAGAATTCTGAGAAAAAAGTCAGAATTCTGAGAAAAAAGTCAGAATTATGAGATGAAAGACAGAATTTTGAGATGAAAGTCAGAATTCTGAGAAGAAAGTCAGAATTCTGAGATGAAAGTCAGAATTTTGAGATGAAAGTCAGAATTCTGAGAATTCTGAGAAAAAGTCAGAATTCTGAGAAAAAAGTCAGAATTCTGAGATGAAAGTCAGAATTCTGAGAAAAAAGTCAGAATTCTGAGAAAAAAGTCAGAATTATGAGATGAAAGACAGAATTATGAGATGAAAGACAGAATTTTGAGATGAAAGTCAGAATTCTGAGAAAAAAGTCAGAATTCTGAGATGAAAGTCAGAATTTTGAGATGAAAGTCAGAATTCTGAGATGAAAGTCAGAATTTTGAGATGAAAGTCAGAATTTTGAGATGAAAGTCAGAATTTTGAGATGAAAGTCAGAATTTTGAGATGAAAGTCAGAATTCTGAGATGAAAGTCAGAATTCTGAGATGAAAGTCAGAATTATGAGAATTCTGAGATGAAAGTTAGAATTCTGAGAAAAAAGTCAGAATTCTGACAAAAAAGTCAGAATTCTGAGAAAAAATTCAGAATTCTGAGAATTCTGAGAAAAAAGTCAGTATTTTGAGAAAAAAGTCAGAATTCTGAGATGAAAGTCAGAATTCTGACTTTTTTCCCCATACTAAACTGAAATAAAACTTAAAAATCTGTTAACTTTTTTTTTTCAGTGGCCCTAATCCTCTTCCGTACAAAACTGATTCCAAATCCGAGTCCAACGAGAACTGTTCAACAGTTGTTGCCATGTTCTTTGTTGTGTTTTTTCCAGTGTCTTGATGCTTTGTCGTCACACCGTCAAAACCCCGCCCGCTTTGCATCCAAAATTCAAAACACATCACTGCGTTGTGATTGGCCAGCCAGTCCTAGGGCCTGGGGCGTTGATCGAGGCTAGACCTCTCTAAGGCAATAATGATTTTGGCCACTGGCGGATAGGGGTAGTTTACTAGGCTACTGCAGTAGCCTAAATTAAAAAATTCAAATACAAATATTTCAATGAAAATCTGATGATAGACTGAATCTGAAGGTAGTTTGTCTGAATTGATTTTTATTCTTAAAATAAATTGACCCATTCCAGCCTCAGCGCCCCTGATCTAAAGCTTGGTTTATGCTTGATGTGTCCACTCAGCCATTTTTAGCTTCCACCTCTGTCTATGCGGCGTCTGTTGGGAAGGAATTTTCACGAGTACCTAGGAAAATTGGTAACTACACGGACAGATCAGCGTGGAAAAACATGGTTGGCAAATGTATACATTTTGAGACAGTCTGTAAATCAGCCAGTATCAACAGATTATGAAAAAACTCCAGGGAAATGCTCTTGGACAGCATGAAGAAGCTTTGGTGAAGTTATAAAAGACTGTGTTTCCTGTTATATCATTTAATGGAGTCGGGTTAGTGTGTAGAGGTGTAGAACACGCCCCCCCTGGAGCCGCAGAGACTATAAATGAGGGAGCTACAGGAGCTACAAAATTTAAACTTGACTAAGTCAATTTTTCTTGTAATAAGTGTATTTAAGACAATTTACCAAAGGAATAAGATGATGTACAGTGGAAATAGTGAGAGACTATCAAGAGCTTAATTTCAAATTATCTGATCATTTTTATCTGCTCAAATTAAGGGCAAATACACAGATTTTAAGAAATGTTTGGTTAATTTTTGATCAGTTTTTGCCGTGTTGACTGAACTGAAATCAGGGCAGTTAGGCAGCCAGCCGCATTAGTATCAAGGTGAGGTTCTTTACCAGGAAAGCCTTAAAGTGTGTAGTTACTCAGCCTAGAGTACGATAGGTTTAAACAGTATCACTGCATGCCATCTTTTATTGGTTTTACCTAAACCCTTAAATGTTCTTTGTTAGAAACAAAGATGTGAGATCTAAGTTGTGTGTTTGCGTTCCTTTATTATGCGGTGAAGATTAGCTGTGATGGAGTTCATGCGATGAGCTGTTCCTCCATATTTTTCCAGAGAACAGCAGAGGCTGAGACGGAGAGCCAGAGCATGGAGGCTCACATGTCCATCCAGGAGAGGAAGCAGCTGATCGAGGCTCGGGAGGAGGCCTGGAAGACCAAAGGCCACGGAGCCGCTAACGACTCCTCCCAGTTCACAGTGGCTGCGCGAATGGTGAAGAAAGGTCAGAGGATGAACTGAGCGTATAGATCTGAGAGAGGAGGGATATTTTTTTCCATACGCCCAGATTATCACGCTGTTTTTAACCATCTAGATCTTATTTCTGCAGGGCTGGCCTCTCCCTCTGCTCTCCTCTCCCCCCTCCAGACCAAATCAAAGAACAGTCTTGCTGTCTCCAAACCTCAGGAAGGTACGTTTTATTACCTTTTATTTAACACTGATGTACTGAATTTCCTTAAGTTAATTTAATGGAATTAGTGATGCCTTCAGGCTCTGTTGGATAAATAACATCTCTTGAGTCCTCTCCTGTCATTAGACACACAAAAAAAAAAAGGAAATAGTTAAGTGTATTCGGATATTTAACTGCTCTGAATCCTTCAAGTTTCAGAGGCATTTATTAAGATTTCCAAAAACGGCATTAACCGTACTTTCCGTTGCCTTCATGGCAGCGCAGTGGCGGTTCTAGACCAAATGTACCAGGGGGCCAGGAGGGGGCCAGTGTTGTTTTCAAGGGGGCACAGAAAAAAGTGAAAGAAAAAACATGGCAAGGGATTCAAATAAATTAAGAGAGCTGCATAAAGTAAAATTTCAATTCAATTAGGTTCAATTAAAACTCTATTTCTTATTAGGTCAATATATTTTACATATGGGATTTTTACATATTTTTGACATAATTTAAGTTCAAATTACCTTTTTTTTTTATAAAATCTGAATTAGAACTGAAGAAAAGCTGATAAATTCACCTGTAAAAGTAGAGCATTAAGAAAAACATTTAATAGATGAAAACTGGGATCCTGTCTCAATACCACGGAAGCCTCATTATCACCTTATTGTTTTTAAATTATTAGTAAAACAGAATTTGTATTATGTCTTCAGTGCAGGGGCCAGGACATGAGCTACAGGGGCTCTGGCTGCCGTTGGCCCCTGTCTAGAACCGCCCATGTGGCAGCGACTTGTTTTTATCCTGAGTGAGATGAGTCGATGCTTCAAGTGTGAGAAGCAGTTACTGTTTACAGGGATTTATACAAGTTCTGAATCAATAATTGATGAGCTGACATTTTCAGAGACCCAGCTTCACGATTTTTATTATCTTTTTCCTTTATTTTACTCCAATTTTCTTCCGCTGTCCTTAGCGGTGTTGTATGGGTGATACGTTGCAATGTGTGGATCAGTCATAAATTCTGAGTTTTATTGTGAATTTTGCTTTTCAGTATTCTTTATGCTTAAGCCATTATATTAGATTAATACAGGAACATTAGTGTAACTCCGTCTATGTGGCCGTTATCACTTCAGAAATATTTCCTTCTGGATGTAGAGGTGCAAATGATAATGGATGCTAAAGGTTTTTCAATTGTTTTCACATTTTAGGTTTTGTCTTACAAAAAAAAATAATGTTTTTTGTTTAGATATATAATATTTGAATATGCAAGCTTAATTTTTATGTAACAGTAGTTTGTTTTCCACATTTTTAAATGTTTGGATTTCAGTTTGAGACGATTGCTTTAGAGTCTGAAGGCTCGATCTGAATAGCTCCTACCTCATGGTCCTTGTGCCTATTCCTTCACCTTTTGTGAGGTCAACAGTAAGAAAATGATCCAGGGTAGGAACGGCTGTGGTGAATCCAGATGTCATTACATGGAGCACACACACATGAATAATGCTGGTCAACAACCTTCTGGAAATGACTACAAAAAATACCCAAACAAAATAGTTTTTTTCAAAACCCAAAACATTTGAAGGTGGTTACATTAGCATGTGTCACAAAGAAATAATGAATAATGTGTTGTTGTTAAACTCCAGGAGGTCGTCTGTGCCCATACATCCTCTCGCACAAAGGATTATGGGTAACTTTATAGCTTCTAGCGATGGCTAGGGAAGGCAGAAGTTCCTAATGCTAAATGAATCAGTACTGTGAAGCATCCTGCTTCCTTTTTATACCTCCTTCCTAACTGCCAGCTCTATTCTGATAACTTTTATTATGGTGACACTGGAGTTTCGCCGTGGCTGAAGTGTCATTGGCTGATTAAAGCTATTTGGATTGAGCCATTGTCTTATATTTTAATGGGAGTGGCGGCCTAGTGGTTAGGGCATAGAGCTTCCTGAGGTTCTAAATTCGAGCCCCACTCCCACAGTCTGCCACTCTGGCTCCCTGAGCAAAGACCCTTAACCCCACAGTGCTAAACATATTTCTCCAATGTGAGATCAATAAAGTTTAGTTATTATTATTATGATTATTGGAGATGCAATGTGGCTAGCGCACTAAGCATTGCTAAAATAGCAGTCTACAGGTTCATAACTGTTCAGTCTATGTAGCCTAAAATCCCATCACATCCTCTAAAAGCGGTGTATTAATTCGGTTGTGCTCTAAAATAAACATGATATTTTATATGGGTGTTCAAGCCAAAAAGAAACTAACCTATGGGGGGGTGTTCTTCATGATCAATGTGCTTAAACCTCTAAAGTAAAGAGAAGCTAGTTTTTCATTCTGACCAACATTGTTGTTCATCTGGCTCTGTCATGGTTTACAGACGGCCTCCATTTTCCAGGAAAATCTGACTTGTGTTGTTCGATTGAATCGAATGTGTGTCTCTAACGGCTGTCTGTGTTCTAAGCAGAGATTAAGGCGGTCCCAGATCTCAACCTGGAGTCGGACACAAAGCTAGAGAAGCTCGAGTCGTTCCTTGGAAAGCTTAACAGTAAAGGTACGTCATTAATGAGATAAAGTTTTACATCCAGGTTGGTAAACTGTGCCTCAAAACAATGAAACATCCAAAAACTTGTAAATATCTATAATACTAAAGAATTTTACATTTTAATAGGAAAAACATTTTTTTATTTACTTACAGCCCAGTCTATGCTGCATGCATTATAAAGACTTTTATTTTATCAGAGAGATCCTGACAATCTTTTCAGTCATTACAGCTTTATTAACATTTTTGTTTTCAGGAAAACAATCAAACCAGTGCAACATATCACAACAGATTTGATAAGTTTTTGCGATAATGAACATGTGAAAACATTCGTCTTGTCTGTAGGGTTAATTTTGTTGCATTATTATTGAAATCTAAGCACATTTTTTGTAAATGTAAATAAAAAAAAAGCAGATTTTGAAAATGAAAACAAAATAAGAGAGGCTATCCAGGAATGATAGCATGACTAAAAAAAACGTAAAAAAAATAATAATTTCTGTTTTTTCTCAGAATAATTATTTTTCTATATATTTTTTTCATATTTTCTTTTTCTTTTACAAAAATATTTCCCCCAAGATTTTATTTTTTAAATTTTTTTTTATTATTACATTGAGTGAACTGGATTCTCCAATTTGCCTTTATATACCAGTCCTATTCTCTTCACTTTGGGTGGAGGGCTTTCCTCTGGAGTGAGGAGCAAAGTCTAATTTCTATTGGTCTGCATCGACATTAGCAACTTTTTAATTGGTTGATTATAGAGTTTTTGTATTTGGCAGAAGTAAGGAGAATGCAATCTGTGAAACCCAATTTGAAAAGAGTGCAATTCATATAACTTGATACAAAAAAAAAGTATGTGTGGACTCTGTGGTCTTAATAATCCTGAGAAAAAGAATATCAAAATGTATATGTATATAGCTCTTAATGAGTAATCATCAAACTTGGATGCCTGGCCTTAAGTTATGGTATGTATGGTGAGATATCAGCTTGTTTGATAGATATTTGCTCACAATGTTTTATATAACACATTTGCTCTTGTCACCTTATTAGAAAAGTGACCTTGTAAGCCTGCAAAATAGGAAAATATGTTTTTTTATGTTCCGAAAAAATGGTCAAATCCATATAAGAGAATCTGGCACATTTGTACACATTTGGCACAATTTGCCTAATGAAATCATTTCATGCAAAAAGACTCATCATCATCATAGCATGCACATAGATTTATGATACGAAGAACATTTTTAAACATGCAGTTTAAATTTTGTAACATTCATTGTTGGGATGTTTATCACCAAAACCAAGAAGTTCTGGAATTTATAATGCATCCATTTGCAGACATGTGGGATGTAGGATGTGCTTGTAATGCGCAATAATTTGGGTTTTTCCAACGTTATAAGCTAAAGTCAGGCGGGTGGTAAGAGGTTAAATAATTTGATATTTACTACCATAAAAACCAAAATCAAACATTTGTCCTGGTTTGTGTCCTCAGTGCCCGGACTGCCAGAGGCCACCATCACAGTGACTCAGCAAAAAGTCAAGGAAGTGATGAGCCTTGAAGATGAAACCTTCTCCAAGTTCTACCGTCATGTGGACGAACTCCCCACCAACGGCAACAAGGTGGAGATAGACGACGACTTCGACGCCATTTTTGACCCCGAGGTGCCAAAGTAAGCCTCGACCTTCAGACGGCAAAGATAAGAAACACAGAGAAAAAGCCGCCAGTCCGAGACGCTCTGACCTCATATCTCTGCTCTTCCAGATTGATTTCAGTCATGGTCCAACACAAGAGGGCGGTGCGACCGAACCGCAACGTTCAGTCCTCCAGGAACCCGCTGAAAAAGCTGGCAGCCAGAGAGGATATCAGGCACGAGTACACGGAGCAGAGGCTCAACATCGGCCTGCTGGAGAGCAAAAGGATGAAGGTGGAGAAGAGTAAGGAAAGATGAATCATGGCTTACTGGGAGATGGAAACAAAACTTCCCTGTTTATAATCTGATTTATTCTAATTCTAGTCAGCATGCTCACCTTGTCTGGACTATATTGCAGTGTTGTATAGTAACGAAGTAAAAATACTTCGCTACTGTACTTAAGTATATTTTGGAGTACTTTATACTTTCCAAGAGTATAGATTTTTTTGAGAACTTTCACTTTTACTTCACTACATCTACGAACTTAATTGCATACTTTTACTCCGATACATTTTCAATGTTTGGTGTAGTTGCTAAGTTAAAAAAAATTAAAAAAAATTGAGAAACGCAAATGTTTTGACCCCGCCTACTGACTACAAAGTCGGGTCTTGCCTGGGCTTGTTCATCAACACCAATAGGATGCGTCTGTTTCGCAAATCCAGTCTAAATTCATCCTACACTTGGTTGTTTATATTATTTTAAGATAATTTAACCTTCAAAGTTTACCAAAATGTAAAAAAAAAAATGTCATTCAAACTGCACTTACTTTTTACTTATACTTTTTACTACATTACTTGAGTACATCTATTTTTACAGTAATTGTTATGCCTAAGTACAAGCCGTTTCAGTTACTTTAATACTTTTACTCAAGTAGCATCTCAGTCAGTGACTTGGACTTTTACCAAAGTCATATTTTGGAGATGTATTCTAAGATTTTAGTACTTTATACAACACTGCCATATTGTATCACAAGCTAATCAGAAAATAATGCTTAGACAGGAAGTACCCTACTAATATAATCGCTCTAATTGATTTTATTACCTTCATTCATTAAACAAAACTATATTTCTATTAACTGTGATAAGGGATGGTAACGTTAAAGATTTATCAATACGGCTACTCTTAACAATACTCCTGATCTATTCAATATTTGATCATTTTATCTTTTATGTTTTCATTCATCAGTCATTTTTTTTTTATAAAAAGGCTCAAACACTATCTTTAAATACCAATTGTGATATACACTGCAAAAAATAATATAAAGATAAATCGATTCTTCTTGAATATGTGTGCACTGCAAAAAATCTAAATCTAGATAAGTCATTTTTTTCTTAAAATAAGTGCATTTGTTCTTGAATTGAGGAGGTAAAAGAGACATTTTGCCAATGGAACAAGACAATTTACACTTAAAATAAGAAAACACAATTGCATTGTCTTATTTCAAGTGCATTTTATCTATTTATGTTATTTTAAGAGTAAAAATACTCATTCCATTGGCAAACTGTCTCATTTAACTACTCAAATTAAGGATGAATACACTTAATGTAAGAAATTGTTACTTATTTGTAGATCGTTTTTGCAGTGTATTTTCCCTTTTTAATGTATTTAGATGATTTACACCAAAAATAAGAAAAGGACAACTCTGTTATCTTATTTTAAGGACAAAAACACTCATTCCATTGGCAGATTGTTAACCTGCTCAAATTCTGGGGAAATATGCAGATTTAAATTTTTTTTTGCATGTTATTGGGTCAGTTTTACCAGTATATTATTGTAGGAGAGAGATTAATACGCTTCAGAAATTATCCATATAACCAAGTCTTACATTCTACCCAAAAAAGTTATTTAGATTTTGTTTTCTGATCGATATACGAAGAGCAGATTGGTTGGATTATTAATCTTTTGAGAAAATTTTACTCAAGTGCAACAATCTGGCAGTGAAGGAAGACTTCTGGAAATTAAGATATATTTATTCAAAACAAATTTGGCTCTTATTTTCACTTATTTTCATTAGGAAAGGCAGGTAATGGTAGTTATGGAAACATTTAGGTGAATAAAAATATTGAGCCAAATAAAAATGGTAAAATAGATCCAACTTCTTTAGGAATAGTTATCTTAAGTATTACAAAAGTAAGCGTATATATTTTATGGTCTCTGATTTTCATCCTTATTGGAATACAAGTGTTTTTCTCTGGGGAAGAAAAAAAAAAAGTTTATTTCTTTAAAGTGCCAAAGTTGCTAAGATTTCTGTCCCTGAGCTGCATATTACTGTAAAGGCCAACATTTCTTATTGTTAGTGTCTCAATCCGTGTATGGTTCGTTCTTTGGTTTTTTTGGTTTCCAAACTAAAACGAAAAAACTAAACAAGCATGTGGTTTTTCTGTTTTTCCGTTTTTAAAACCTAAATCGAAAAAATGAAAAATTGAATTAATAGAAAATCAACAGTGTTTGAGTTTTGTTTTGTTTTTAAAATACAGTTGCTGTTTAAATATGTAGCGGTACCAGAAATGAAGTAAGTTGCCAAAGAAAAATCATTTACGGCGGATGAAGACGGCATCAAAACAAACCATTTCTAAACAAAAGGCAATGGCTGCACTTGAACCGTTTTCCGCTTTGATTATCGAACTTTTTGAGAGGGAAAACACGCTCTGAAATCAGTGATGCTTTGAGCCGCCATGGAGCTCCACATTACTCGGTAATGAGTGTCAGAAGGTTTTGTATGGAGCACAACTTGCGAAGACACAACGATGTGTCGGACGCCGATTTGGAACTTGGAATATTAAAGAGATGTTGTTGACGGTCAGATCATTAGCTCTCAATGAAATGCGCCGATTCCCTCTAAATAACGCAAACGTTTCCATGTTGGTAGCGCTAACTGAAAAAGTTCTTCTTCTTGTGGATTGTAATGGCAAGAAATTTAAGGCGTACATTACGTTATGTGTTGGGAGTTCAGGTCTTTATTTCCGGTTCTGCCATAAGGTCCGTTGAATTAACAACAAAATAAAAGTTTGTCTTTGGTTTAACCATTGCAGTTAAAAAAAAAATAAAATGTACCCTTTTTTCATTTTCGCAAATGCCGTTTTTCTTATTTCGTTTTAAAAAAGGACAAACAGAAAAACCACACGCTTGTTTTGTTTTTTCGTTTTTGTTTTGAAGAAACTAACCATACACTGATTTGTCTCATATTGCTTTATCCAATGTCTCTGCTTTGTTCTCTGCAGTGAACAAGAACTCTGGGTTTTCTGAAGTGGCTCTGGCCGGTTTGGCAAGCAAGGAGAACTTCAGCAGCGTCAACCTGCGCAGCGTCAGGGTCTCTGAGCAGACGTCCAACAACAGCGCCGTGCCATACAAGAAGCTCATGCTGCTTCAGGTCAAAGGTCAGTCATGTGGCTCTGAATGCACAAATAAACCTGCAATGATAGCATCCGCTTGGCCTGCTGCTCAGGTTGATTATGCTGCCTGGATGTTTATCCATCTATATAAACATCCTACTTTTCTTCCAGGTCTTTTACTTTCTGCTATAAACACTTTTCTTTTTTTTCTTTCATAAATAGGCCTAAAGGACTGAGAACTCTAGCTAGCTTTGGTACCATAAACCTTAAACATATTATTAACACGGAAAAATGATGTGACCTCAAAGGGTCGTTACTGTCGTTTTCAGATGATATGTAAAGGAGAGATGGGGCTTGCCTTATATAGGCGTCTGTTGTTAACAGCTGTGGCTTTAAATCATTCTCCCCAGGTCACCTCACGCCGTCCTGGGCGGCTTTGATCCCCCAAAGCCCCACGTCCGTAATCCCAATCAGCTCCAATGCAGCACAGGCGCTACTCTGTTAGCTCAAACTTTCACAGCTTCAAATTTAGACCACTGGCTTCCATCAGGTTTAAGCTCTATAAATTGTCATATTTACAGCGTCGCTTCACGCGATGTGGGCCTGATGGTTCTGGTGTGATAATCCAGGCGATGAGTAGCAGCGTAGCCACTGATAAGCCACCTGTCTGTGTTTATGTGAAACCAGGGAGACGACACGTCCAGGTCCGGCTGGTGGAGCCCAGAGCGTCCTCTCTGAACAGCGGAGACTGCTTCCTGCTCGTCACTCCGCACCACTGCTTCGTCTGGATCGGGGAGTTCGCCAACGTCATAGAGAAAAGCAAGGTAAGAATCGGGCCGCAGAGCTTCGATCACTGCCTGCTGCGTGGACGATAATCATCCCTCCACTTAAAGGCGTCAGAGTTGGCCAACTTCGTCCAGAGCAAGAGAGATTTGGGTTGCCGAGCAGAATACGTCCAGATGATAGACGAAGGCGCCGGCACACAAAGCCATGCTGTCCAGGAGTTCTGGAAGTGTCTCGGAGGACAGGCAGATTATCAGTGTGAGTTCAGGAATAAGTCTGGTCCAGAGGAGAACCCCTCCTCCTGAGATTAAAAACAAACCGAGTTGTTTTGCTCTTCATCCTGCAGCAGCAGGAACCCCGGATGAAGACGAGCTGTACGAAGCAGCCATCGTGGAGACCAACTGCATTTACCGCCTGATGAACGACAAGCTGGTCCCAGACGATGACTTCTGGGCCAGGATGCCCCGCTGCACTCTGCTCAATCCCAAAGAGGTTGGATTAGGATTCTAATTAGATTATATGTTAATAAATCAAAGTGCAGAGGTGTTTGGTTTGTTTTTTCTGGTGATGAGAGCTCACCCTGTCTGCCGCAGGTTTTGGTGTTTGACTTTGGCAGTGAGATGTACATCTGGCATGGGAAGGAAGTGACTCTGGCTCAGAGGAAGGTCGCCTTCCAGCTGGCCAAGCACCTCTGGAACGGCACCTTCGACTACACTAACTGTGACATCAACCCGCTGGACCCAGGAGAGTGCAACGTACTCATTCCAAAGTATGGAAACATTCGCAGGATGTCCGTACCCATACATCCTTCCTCTTTACTCATGCTGCATTCAGAATGAACATCAGGTTTACATGCAAGGTCTCTGTTGGACACAGACCACATCTTTATGCGTTTCCAGCGTCAGTTTTATGATCTTTCAATCGGCCATCAGTTCTGAACATTTGTTACTCAACACAGTGCATCAACCAATCAGAGAAGCTGATCTGCAGGCACCAGGGAGACACATTTTTACTTAAATACAAAGAAAGTTTCCAGTGTCAAATGTTACTAAAAAAAATAAAACGTAGTGAATAGGGGTGTAAATAATAATCGTTTTGTATCGATGCATCGATCCAACAGCCGACGATCCGATGCATCGACACGTCCGCAAGATAATAGATTTTTTTTTTTTTTCCTCTGGTCTATTTTTATCCATTTGCTCCTGGATGTAATTCTCCCTCCCGTCCTGCGGTGGCGCTAAACCTATTTTGCCCTCCTACCTCGCTTCCTGGTTATACTCTTACAGCAAAGTGTTGCAGTGAGCTTGACGCAGACATTTTTAAATTATGCTCAATATTGAAGCGTGGTCTGAGCTACACGCTGTGGGTCTAGAGGCGGCGAGGAAGTGGGGGCGAGTTTAGTCCGACGACGGAGGGACATGAGGGCCAAAAAGAGCGGAGATCCAGGTGGAAAAAGGGTCATTGATTTATTTCAAACTTGAAACTTTGTTTAGCCTGTAAGGTCTAAAAAAATTAAAAAAATAAACATTAATCGATTAATCGAATCACATCGTGGTGTATTCTTGAGTATTGAAAATAATCGAATCGTTGGATCAGGAAATAGATAATGAAATGAATCGCCATGATGGATGTGATTTACACCCCTAGTGGTGAATATCTATTTAAATAAATATTTTTGTGAGCAGAAGAAAATCCCTTTGGTCTATTCTATCATGGAATAGATAAGTTATTGTCTTAAACTGTTAAAAATTTTTTCATAAAAGAATATAAAAAAAAAAACAGCTGGTTTATGTAGCGTTAAGTCAAATTGTGATTGCTAATTAGTAAATGTAACTACTATTGATGTGAAAGGATGGAGTCACTGGGAAAGGAAAGAAATAGTTGCAACTTTTTTTGTGTGTTATTGTTTGAAACTGCAGTTATAATTTTTAAATTACTCTGTCCTAAAATCTGAATAAGATGTGCGCCTTTAATATCAAAAAGTGTCAGAAGCTTAAACGGTTCCTTTTCTGTGACTAAATTAACGGACTTTGTCGTCGTCTGTGTGTTAGAAAAGGCCAAGGCCGGCCGGACTGGGCCGTGTTTGGCCGACTGACTCAACACAACGAGACCACCCTGTTCAAGGAGAAGTTTCAGGACTGGAGCGACTCCAGGAAGACGCCCAGCCCCACCACAACAAACGATGTCATCGCCGACCACAAGGTATCAGATTCCTCCCATGAAAGTCCTCCTCCTCACAGCAGAAAACACAAACTCTATGGACTTAGCTCAAAACATTTTCATTTGTTTAATTTTATTGTCATTTGTAATGACAATAAAACACTGGGAAACTGTTTACTTTGATTTTATTTTTTTTCCCCAAATGTTTTTATTTGATTTTTTTAAATTTCTCCTTTCTTTTTAAATTGCGCTTTACAGGTCAATTGTCTTCACTTAAAGTCCGGTTCAATTCCTCTTAACGCGCAACTTTACCAACAAAAATGTTGCTAACACCTACCTAACCTGACTCCGCCAGCAGGATTTGCTCCGCATATCCATCTGGAAACCTTCCGTTGAAGTAATGTTGGGAAGGGGCGAAAATACTGGTTAGCTGATTGGCCTATGTTGGTGATAGACGGGCCAAATAAACCAATCAGATCAACGAAGCATATGACGTACTAACAGCCAGGCTACTGTTGCTGAAACCAGTCGGGAGAAGAGCAAAAACATCTTTTCCTCTGAGAAAAGCCTCCAGAGCAGTGTTCTGCTCTTCTTTCAGTGAAGAAATATTCTGTAATTCAGATAAAACTTGCTCGATAGCCACGCTAACGCTAGTTTCATCGGCTGAAGCCGCCATGTTCTTTAGACTGAACTGTCGCGCTTCTCGTTGCGTCACACCTCAACCCGCCTCAAAGCCAACGCTGATTGGACGTTCGTTTGGTGAACGGCTCCAAATTTTCTTTAACGGAGAGTCTCCAGACTGATTAGCGAGTGAAACCTTGAAAGCTCGCGAGATCAGGATGGTCTCACGAGGCTAACAGCTACCCCCACAAAGTGAAAAGAACGCAAAATGAGAAACTCAGTCTGAAAAAAGAGACATTTGAAAAATGAAAGTAGAAAATCTCAAATAAAAAAACAAACCAAAAAAGATTTTAAAATTGAGATCCAACGATCAGCTGTTGCTCACTGTTCCAATGGGATTTTTTCCTGGTTAAATAAAGGTTAAATAACGAGAAAACAACAAAGTTGATCTGAAAACCTTTTTTTTTTTTTTTTGAGAAGTTTTTCAAAGTTTCATTATGGTATAAAACGTATTCTTTGCTTGCATCAATAATGGAACAAAAAATCACTCCATATATTTTTTTTTTCTCTTTTTTTCTGCAGCAGCCGACGTCTGACGCCCCTCATTTGTTCAGTGCCTCCTTGATGCTGCCCCCCCACCGAGCTGCGGTCTGCACCATCTTAGACGGGCTCAGCGTGGGCCGGGGCTACGGCGTGGTGGAGGCGGAAGAGTGGCGGAGCTATGTGGTCAGCACTCTCGCGGTGGAGGTGTGGCACATCCTGGAGTTCGACTATAGCCGGTTGCCTCGCCAGAGCATCGGCCAGTTCCACGACGGCGACACCTACGTGGTTAAATGGAAATACATGGTCAGCGCTGCAGGTCTGTACCCCCCCACCACCACTGGTTGGTCTGTTAGATAAAATAATAAAAAGTCATGTTTTTATTTTATTTCCTTCCATCAGTTGGAAAGAGACAGAACCCAGAGCAGCAGAAGACGGCAGGAGCTGGAAAGGAGAAGTGCTGCTACTTCTTCTGGCAGGGCCGCAATTCCACCGTCAATGAGAAAGGGACGTCAGCGCTCATGACTGTGGAGCTGGACGAGGAGCGGGGAGCACAGGTGGGCCGCCTTTCTGTTTTTAGCCCCTCTACACTCACACCGGGAAAACTCCAACCTAAGTAGGTAAATTAATTTACTTTATCTCGGTTTGAACTGGTATTAGGAGAATATTCCATTACAATAAGAAGAAAACAAAAAACTTTATATCAAGTGCATAATATATAAAACACTCGTTCCATTGGCAGATTTCATATACCTGTTCAATTTTATGGAAGATTTAATTTTGTCGTGTACAGTTAACCCATTTAGGCCGGGAAAGCATTACCGCATTTCTACCATTCAAGCCGGGGGCGCTGTTGCGTCATTCTACCATTGACGCCGGGAGAGCATATAAGTCAAGCAAGAAGAAAGAAGTTTTTTTCAAGCAAACATGGAGGAGTTTGACAGAGAAGAGTTGTCGGAAGGCAGTGATTTTGAGGAGTGTGTCGGCTTTGATGACGGTATAGATGAAATGATGACTTTGAACGCGCTGAACCAATCGAACTACCACCGCAATGCACGGAGTGTTTTCAACCGCACACCTGGAGTGAAAGTTGATTTGCCTGCAGACGCCACACCGCTGCAGGCATTTGAGCATATTTTTAATGAAGAACTTTGGATGCATCTAGTTACCGAGACGAATAGGTACAGTGACCAAACAAACCAAACTCCAACAAGAGCAAAGATGGCAAAGTGGTCACCCGTGACTGTGACGGAGATGAAGACATTTATTGGGCTGTGTATGTAAACCTCTCTTCAGGACGCAGTTCCCCCAAAATATGTCCCGGGACAGATTTGTGGCCATCTGGAGGTAGGTTGCATGCAATTTATAACACAGACATATGCATTATTATGCATAATAATACTGTTAATAAGTAATCATAAGATAGTTATTTATGTAATGTTTGTTCTTTATTTTGAAAACGTTTTATATTGCACATTCTCAATGAAGACATGATCACATATGGAAAAAATAAAAGGTTGAATTTTTTTTTTTTTTGATTACTGCTTTTCACATTTTTTTTTTGGAAGAATTTCAAAGATAAAATATATTTTGAGTTCTATCTGCTACAGAAGCTGAGATATCAATAATTAAGGCGTTGACACAGTTGCTGAATTTACAGAAAAACTTCAGGTTTTAGGGGTATTTTTTAAAATCGGCCATAGGTTTTTAAGGTGTTTTTTCCAGGCGTTTTAGGCCTAAATGGGTTAATGTGTTAACATGTCTTAGTAGCTTCACGCTAGTGGTGAGCAGTAAAGCCTTCAAGCCCTTCACTGCTGATCTAAAATCAATCAAACACTAACCTACATTCATAAGCTAAACTTATTTTATTCTATCCAGCTGTATTAAAGGTATTTAGAAGGATTTTTTAAAAGACTTTCTCTCCACTTTAAAAAGAGTGTGCGTGCAAGAGCATGCACAAGCCCATTTCTCCTTGTGCACAGTTTGTTCTCGTAGCTCATACAAGCTTACTGTGTCTCTTTGAACCCCAGTCAGCCTCAGCAGATGACCGCTCACACTGAGCCTGGTTCCACTGGAGGTTTCTTCCTGTTAAAAGTAGGGCTGGGTACCGAACATCGGTTCTTTTATGGTACCGACCGAAATGCTTCGGTTCTACAGAGTATCGAAACATGCCTCGTCTTTCGGTACCAAGTTTCGGTGATCGGCTGTAACACTTAACGTGATTGCGTCATCCAGGAAAAATACACAGGTGGTCACGCCTACAGCCAGGGTTCATGTGTATCTGTTGTGAACTGGTTGCAGCGTCGCGGAACACCTTTAAAATGCCCCCCAGGTCAAAAGTGCGGCTTCACTTTATTAAGACTGATGCCAGTAGTGCGCAATGCAATACATCGTGCACGGAAACAATTTAAGAGCAGAAAGTTGCTCGGTGTTTGACTGCAAGAAGAGCGGACCGCAGCCGGCGCGACCATCCTCCTCTCAGCAGCCCGTGGGCAGAGCAAAGCCAGAGCGGAGTGAATCATGCTGCTTTCAAACTGGACGCAGCAGGAGCAGCAAAATCACGTCTGCTGCTTCATTTTTTGCTGCATGTACCAGTTAGTTCTGACGCGCGGCTGAAGCAGCTTTGCTGCTCTGGCTGCGCGGTCGAAAAGTGGCTCTGACGCGCGTTGGGTGGAGCTACTGTATCCTTTCTCTGTGCAGCTATATTTGCTGTGATCAGTGGGAATAAAGTAGTTTTATTATGTTTTTAAGTGTGAAAATCCACCTGAAAACTTAATCAGTGCAGTCAGTTCATCCTGCCTTCCAATATTTCTGTGGGAGCCGCTCAGACCCCCACATACCAGCGGTGCGCTGTCAGTAGGATCCCATTCAACGGGCTGGTTTGTCAGACATGGTAATTTTTCTAAAGGAAAACTGCTAAGGAAAAAGGTCCTCACAATGTAACAGTGAATATTAGACACTGATTTTTTTTTATGTAAGAGGAAAAATGTAAATTGAAAAATCAGAGTTTAAAATAAAACTCAATATTTGTACTTTTTTATGTTGTGTAATTTTCTTTTTTTTTTTCGAATTGACATTATAAAACTGGTATCAAAAAAAGTATCGTTCAGGAACCGGTATCGAAGTGAAGGTATCGGTATTGGTACCGGAACCGGAAATTTTTGAACAATACCCAGCCCTAGTTAAAAGGGAGTTTTTCCTCTCCACTGTCTCTACAAGCATGCTTAGTGTGAGGGATTGCATTCGAGTCTGAGTCGATGCAATCAACTCGTTTTCCTTAGATAGAAAACTTTGAATTAATCTGACTGGATGATCTGGTTGAACTGTAAAGTGCCTTGAGATGACATGTGTTGTGAATTAAACCAAAATGAATTGTGTCCACATACAGCTGGGACTATATGGTGGACTTTATAGCAAACTCAGGCTGTTTCTCAATTCACAAGAACAGGAGAACGGACTTGTGTCCTCGCCAAGTATGTTCTTCAACAGGGGGTCCACGGAGGTACTGCATGGGGGTCGCGAAAGTCTTGGTTGATTACTTTTTTTTTATATTCCCTCCTGCAATTTTTTGCACTAATTAAAATATCTTTAAATCCACATTAACATGAATTCAACAGACTGTAGTAAACAGATAAATGAAAGCAGAAGATGTCTTTCAGTCATCAATGCTCACATTCAGCGACACAGGAGCTCTTTCAAACCTGGGCACCGTTTCATTCACAACACCTGTCCCATCAACCAGGAATCAGATTCAGAAATACTTTAATAATCCCAGGGAGAAATTAGTTTCGTTACATGACTCCATATGTAATAGAGTGACTATAGGACCAGTTTGATAGAACACCATTTTATACAATATATATAATTAGGGGGCCCCCGCTCCATCTAGCAATCAGTTTGGGGGTCCTTGGCTTTGAAAAACGTTGAAGACCCCTGTTCTAGAGAAGAACACAGGAAAGTGTGGACTCTGGGAGAACAGGAGCACGCAGCATAAATATGCGTCAATCAGGACAGATGCGTACTTATGACCACATGCTCGTCTGGAGCTGCATTTTAACCTCCTGTTATTAATAGTCTCTACACTGCAAAAACCATCTAAAAATGAGAAAAATGTCTTAAATTAGGTGTATTTACCATGAATTTGAGTAGGTAAATAAGATGATTTGCCAATGGAATGATTATTGTTAGTCTTAAAATAAGATAATTAGATATTATGCACTTGAAATAAGACAAGGCAATTGTTTTTTCTTATTTTAAATGTAAATAGTCTTGATCCATTGGCAAAATATCTCAATTACCTCCTCAGTTCAAGAAAAAATGCACTTATTGCAAGAAAAAAATGGCTTAGTTTTCAATTTTTCACAGCGTAGATAATTTTAAATTTAAATTTTTTTATATTTATTGGGGAAATAATTGTGGGCATAGTCAGATAAACACAAATCAAATGAACATTTTGCCAAAAAAAAAAAAAAAAAAACTAGGCATCATAGCCAGCAGTCCTTCACACACAGCTATGCAGAGAGACGGCTGCTGCAGACGGGCTACCGTTAACCTGGCTGCCTCAGCCTGCAGTCCTCTCAGCTTCGTCATTTTTTTCTAAAATACGCAATAAATCAGTAAATTGGCCATATAGTGAAGCTTAAAGTATAATGTTCTCGCCTCAAAAGATCTTAAAATGTACTTTTATTGAGCAACAGAAAAGAGAACTTTTATCTTAATACTCTGAGCTCTGTGAGCGCTAACCTGGAAGCTGCTGCTGCGGTGCATGCTGGGACTGCTGTCAATCTTAATGCTATGTTCACACCGGACGTAGCAAAAGCAGCAAAATCGCGTCTGCTGCTTCATTTTTGCTGCTTGTACCAGTTAGTTCTGACGGGCGGCTGAAGCAGCTTTGCTGCTCTGGCTGCGCGTTGCAAAAGCGGCTCTGACGCGCGTTGGGCGGAGCTTCACTATCCTTTCTCTGCCTTGCAGCTATATTTGCTGTGATCAGTGGGAATAAAGTAGTTTTAATATGTTTTTAAGTGAGAAAATACACCTGAAAACTTAATCAATGCAGTCAGTTCATCCAGATTACCATCCTGCCTTCCAATATTATTTCTGTCGGAGCCGCTCAGACCCCCACATACCAGCGGTGCGCCGATAGTAGGAATCCCATTCAACAGCAGCCTCTGGCCGGGTCGCCTCCTCGCGGTTCACCGCGGCGGCTGGTAGGTGTTCTTCATCTAAATAATCCAAACCTCAGGCAGCAGGATAATAAAAGCGAACATGTTCTGTCGGCAGATTTCTGCATTTTAAGTTAATTTAGGAGTTAATAAACTGTTTCAAAGGAGTGATCATAGCGCTCTGTATCATCAGCGATGTGTCTCTCTCCCTGCCAGCTCCCAGATCAGCTTCTCTGATTGGTTGACGCGGCGCGTCGAGCAGCAAAAATTACATTTTTCCATCTCGAGCAGCAGCGCGTTTGCGACGCGTCACGCGCGTCAGATGCTTAAACGCGCTGCGCCTGCTGCTCAAAACGCGCCGCAGGACCTTTTTCTGCGCCTTGACCGCGTCAACCATTGCCTTTGCATGTAAACTCGCTACTTCTGTCGCGCCAGCTGCGTCCGATGTGAACGCAGCATAAGAACGGACAAGTCTGCTCTGAGGCATGCTGGGTAAATAGGGAGGGGTAAGAACAACTTCAGGGGACTTTTTCCGTTTTCTGTCTTCTTGTGAATTGGAACAGTACTAGGGCTGAGGCTGATGCTGTTTCATGAGAACACACTCGCGTTCTCGTGAATTGAGAAACGGCCGATAACGATATTAGAGAGGAACGTTTTCTTCAACCAATCAGATTTCAACTAGTGACAATCTGCATTTTAGATGACCTTTTGCTCAAAGTTTTTCTCTCCATTTAATATCAAAGTCTGATGCTAAACGGCGATACTACAGTAAGACTTCCTTCACAAAGACAGAAGGATGGATTTTGTTTAGAAGTAATCAGCATCTCTGAGCGTGATATAGTTTATTTTCATGCTTCATGCGCCATTTTATCTTATAATTAGATGCATATTTAATCTAAACAGGTCCTGATGATGTAAATATGGCGTAGCTGCGGTTACAGAGGATTATGGTTGTTTTAACTGGGCTTCTTCTCTCACACTACAATCTTCTTATTGGTTATACCAGAGCTTATTACATTTCCTTTTTGAAAACTATTGGTGATGTTATTAGTGATATTAGTAGGTTAAGTTGAGGGATGCCCGCTGAAGGCTTAGTTACCATGTGCACCGCTGCTTCACGCTAACGTTCAACTTCCTGTTTCAGGTTCAGGTCCTGCAGGGGAAAGAGCCACCATGTTTCCTGCAATGTTTCACAGGGGGAATGATTGTCCACTCAGGGAAGAGAGAAGAGGAGGAGGAATGCTCACAAAGTAAGGCTGGTCTAACAAATTGATCCAACTTTTTTTAATATTTATTTTTAAGGTGATTTATTTGTTAATTTTTGTGACTGCATCCTGTCTCCTTTCTCCCTCACAGATGACTGGCGTCTTTACTGCGTGCGAGGGGAGATGGAGGTGGAGGGCCACCTGCTGGAGGTGGCCTGTCATTGCAGCAGTCTGCGCTCCAGAGTTTCCATGGTGCTGCTGGGAGTCAGCCAGGCCCTCATCTACCTGTGGCACGGCTGCAAATCCCAGACGCACACTCGGAAGGTGGCGTGTGTCGCCGCCAACAGGCTCAAAGAGAAGTGAGTGGATTTTTCTGCTTTCCTTCAAACATTTCCCAACGAGCCGTTTTGAACAGGTCCAGTAGTGCAGCTGGTGTTTTTCTCGCCCAGCTGTCCTCTGGAAACGGGGCTGCACAGCAGCAGCAGGGTGACCATACGGGAGTGTGACGAAGGAGCGGAGCCCATTGGGTTCTGGGAAGCCCTCGGCAGGAAAGACAGGAAGGTGTACGACTGCATGCTTCAAGGTGAGCCAGTGAAAACCGTTACTGGTAAAAGCAATCGGATAATGGTTCTGGATTAGAATATGACCATAAAGGCTGTTAAGGCTGCAGGCTGGTTTCTCTGAACGTGAGAACATCTCTAATCCACTGCCCCTGTCAGGGGACTCAGAATATTTTATCTCAGATTAGGATTAGTTCAGACTTTTTCTCTCTCATCTTCCAGAGATCTACCATTTACGGAAACTTTAATGGCTCAGTGTAATCTTCAGCTTCCTGGAAAACATGTAAAACCTTTAGGATCAAAACTGATGGTTTCATCCACTTTTTCCCTCAAATGTCTTGGTCTATCACAGGAGTCTACAACCTTTCATATCCAAAGAGCCGTTTTGCCCAGAGTACGACCAAATAAAAGTTGTTTAGAGCCGCAAAATATACCATGACTTTAACTAGAAAACCTTTTTTTTAAATCTTGTATAGGAAATTAGTTGTTGCCATCTCAAACAATCAATTCATCTATTTTTTTTATGTTAAAACGTATAATTTTCAAGCTAATTCATAGAAAAATGTCTCTTAAAACATATTTCTGGTTCTTTTAATCTCATTATTTTCCATCTTATAAAAAACGCTAAAGCTATTGTTACCGGTATATATTATAGTACATTATTTAGCTCTTTATGTACATTTTAGCCACTATTAAGAGCCGCTGGAGAGGGTCCAAAGAGCCATATGTGGCTCCGGAGCCGCAGGTTGCAGACCCCTGGTCTATCAGATCAGGCTGCTAGCCATAGGGCTTGTTACACACACAGCAAGAACAGAGATTTGTCGTTTTCAAAGACGAAAGAACAAGAAAATATATTTTTTCTATGTTAGAAAAAGTAAACTGGCTCCACAGGTGGCTCTGTGTAAGAAAGAAAAATGTTGAGCAGATGAGGACGTACAGTTAGTCGCATTAAAAGCTGAGCTCATAGGAGAGTAACGGGACTAAACACTGAAAAACAAGACCAACCCTATCATCTATAACTGAAGTTTGTTGATGGCAGCAGCCCAGCTGACTCCTCACTGTAAATAGAGAACCAGATTTGGCTAATTTAAAAACTATAAACTATAAAAGATTTAGCTAATATGGCTAGAAACAGTAAGAAATTATCACTTTACTTGGATTTAGTTTTACATATGCATATACACTTACCAGCCACTTTATTAGGTACGCCTGTCCAACTGCTCGTTAACGCTTAATTTCTCAGCAGCCAATCACATGGCGGCAACTCAGTGCATTTAGGCATGTAGACATGGTCAAGACAATCTCCTGCAGTTCAAGCCGTGCATCAGTATGGGGAAGAAAGGTGATTTGAGTGACTTTGAACGTGGCATGATTGTTGGTGCCAGAAGGGCTGGTCTGAGTATTTCAGAAACTGCTGATCTACTGGGATTTTCACGCACAACCATCTCTAGGGTTTACAGAGAATGGTCCGAAAAAGAAAAAACATCCAGTGAGCGGCAGTTCTGTGGGCGGAAATGCCTTGTTGATGCCAGAGGTCAGAGGAGAATGGCCAGACTGGTTCGAGCTGATAGAAGGGCAACAGTGACTCAAATAACCACCCGTTACAACCAAGGTGGGCAGAAGAGCATCTCGGAACGCACAGTACGTCGAACTTTGAGGCAGATGGGCTACAGCAGCAGAAGACCACACCGGGTGCCACTCCTTTCAGCTAAGAACAGGAAACTGAGGCTACAATTTGCACAAGCTCATCGAAATTGGACAATAGAAGATTGGAAAAACGTTGCCTGGTCTGATGAGTCTCGATTTCTGCTGCGACATTCGGATGGTAGGGTCAGAATTTGGCGTCTACAACATGAAAGCATGGATCCATCCTGCCTTGTATCAACGGTTCAGGTTGGTGGTGGTGGTGTCATGGTGTGGGGAATATTTTATTGGCACTCTTTGGGCCCCTTGGTACCAATTGAGCATCGTTGCAACACCACAGCCTACCTGAGTATTGTTGCTGACCATGTCCATCCCTTTATGACCACAATGTACCCAACTTCTGATGGCTACTTTCAGCAGGATAATGCGCCATGTCATAAAGCTGGAATCATCTCAGACTGGTTTCTTGAACATGACAATGAGTTCACTGTACTCAAATGGCCTCCACAGTCACCAGATCTCAATCCAATAGAGCATCTTTGGGATGTGGTGGAACGGGAGATTCGCATCATGGATGTGCAGCTGACAAATCTGCTGCAACTGTGTGATGCCATCATGTCAATATGGACCAAACTCCCTGAGGAATGCTTCCAGCACCTTGTTGAATCTATGCCACCAAGAATTGAGGCAGTTCTGAAGGCAAAAGGGGGTCCAAATCTATAATTACAGTTTGTACTGAAATGGCATATAACAGGGAGGGTTATAAAACAAAACAGGCTTATTGAAACCCAAATAGGAGGGAAAAAAGGAGAGTAATGGTACTAAAGTATTTCGTACTGCACGATCAAAGCATATCACAGTAAATTGTAATTGTGTAAAAATATAAAACATCCTCCTATATTGAAATTTGTTGTCCTTTTTTTGCATAATGACAAATACATTTTTGATTAAGGCAAGCTCACTCATCCAGGAGTTTTCGTTTTCGTCTGTTTGTACGCCAATAAACATATTCTTTGGGATATATAAGTTCTATGACATTGTTTCAAGATTTCACTCCATGTAATTTGATGCGACTCTGGTAACAAGAGGCTTTAGTCAAAGATAATTGAACGTTTGTCACCTATTGAGTCTAGTAACATTGGAAATGGTTAATCTGAGCAAAATTATGTTTGTGTGAAGAATATTCAGTATCCTACAGAGTCTAAAAATAAATGTAAAAGTCGCTAATATATTTATATGAAGGCTATATGATGCAGAGATGCGGATTGAGCACAATGTTTGGAAAATGTTGCACTTCTATCAACTTTTTTTGGCTGAATGAAGCAGAGTGAGGAAAATCCATCTTCATGTCCTCCATCAGTCTAAGCTTATAGCAGCACTACTATACAGAGACTCTGTCACAGCCATCTTATTTATCAGATATGTTAGATCTTACTTCGGGTGTTATGCTGCAGCCTTGGACATCAACACTTGTAACATTTGTGTCTTAAAATAAAATTTAAAAATTTATTTTATGCAAAAAAGACGCGTTTATTTTATCAAAAACAAAACCTAGAAGGAAAAAGCGTGTGCAGAATCACGAAATGCACAAAAACACTGAGGAATACAGAAAAATTTTAGTACCTCATTGAAAAAAATGTTTGATAATTGAGCTTTTATTTAAAATTTTACAGCCTTAAATTGAACACAAAAAATTTGATTAGGCTTTAGTTCCTAAAAGAATAGTTCATATAAACAAATGTATAATTTTTTTGCACTAACAAAGCCTGAACTTTGAACTGGACTCATGATAGTGGACCTAAATGTAGCTGCAGCTTCTTTGCTGTCAGTCAGCCAGCAGATGGAGCTATTGAGGTGCATTATAAACACTAAGAACAACATGCACTGGTTATACTAGCATCAGTCAGCACCCAGCCTGCATGAGGCTGTTACTGTCTACAAACTTTATTATATCAAGACCCATTTTGCTCCAGGTCCAGCTGAATAAAGGTTCTTTAAAGCTGCATTACAAGACTTTTTAATAAAACACAACTTATTATTTTTTTGTTCAATATCTTCTATAATCTATTGATTTTTTTTTTTTTTATTAATACAATTTTAGTTTGTATTTCTATATTAACAGGAGGTACATATTTTGTTTTGTTTTACAGCTAATGAAAAGATAAGTGGATATAAAAACACATTTCTGGTTATTTTAATGTAATTTTGTGAAAATCTGATTAAAATATTCTTTATAAAACAAAAGCTAAAGCTTCTAAGGCTGGAATTTATTGATAAATGATATTTATAACTTAATTTGTTATGGTTTTATCCATAGAGGGTCCAATGAATAAGGATAAGGAAATTAATGACGATCTAGAATCACAAGAGGTAATGGAGATGAGGACCAAATGGAGGAAGAGTTTTTCTGGCGCTGCTAGGAGTTAGCATCTGTCATTAGTGCTAGCAGAAACCTTCCTCCTTATATCCTCCTCATCTTCATCACCTCTTGTGACTCTGCGTCATTAATTTCCTCGTGTTCCGGTTTAAACTGCAAAGGATTAATGTTACTCATTTCTGTTTAAGCTGGACAGAGCTAGTGCTAAGAGACGTTAGCATACATCATTTATCCAGAATGCATTGCAGCGTAAACATTGTGACGGGATGCACGATATTGGGATTGTGGCCGATATCCGATATGCCGATATTTTAAAACTCATGTAGCTGATAACCGATATCGATACCGATGTTAAAGCTGGACAAAAATAAGTAGTCATTGAAAATAGCAGTTTAGTTATCCATTTCTGACACTTTGAAAAATAATATACTCAAATATATTTTCATATGCTGATATCAAATTGATTTTTAAAAACGCGGTATCGATCTATTTTACTTTCAAAATCTCGTGAAATTTCATCGTTCTGTTACAAACTCTCGTGATATTTTGCAAATTCTTGTGAGATTTTGTTAGTAAAATAGATCGATACCACGTCAATATATCAACATATAAAAATATGGCAACATTTCGTGAATTTTCGGGAGATTTCGTAGCATAACGATGACATATAGCAATATTTCGTTAGTAAAAGAGATTGATATGGTGTTTTTAAATGGCAATATATCAGCATATGAAGATATTGGGATATTTTAATGTATATATTTTTCCCCTCGTCTTTAGAAGTTTTTAAGTCTGTAAAAAATACGTTTTTAAGGAAGAAGAAGAAGTAGTATTTTTTTTTTTAGACTTTAGAAACTCAGAAGCTGATCAAATATCGGGTTAAATAGCGGTGGGGTGGCCGATGTCCGATATTCAGTTTTAAGGCCGATACCGATAGGGGGCCGATTATATCGTGCATCCCTAATTGTGACGTCTGTATCATTTTATATAGATTTATAAAGAATAAACATTTATATCAAAACTAAATACTTCCTAAAGGAAGTTAAGTTATATTTATTGATGGATCCTTTGAGGCTGATGCAGATTATTGTGAATTTGCTTTTCTTAAATTTCCTAAATGCCCACATTTATTAATCAAGAAAACAAAACATTATCAATAAAAGCAGTGGTGATGCATACGCTTCATGCGATCTCAAGGCACAGCTGTTGTATGCACTAACGAATTGGCTAATGCCAATACAAGCAAATGTTGAGATCGGCTCATTAACTCTGGATGTTCAGATCCCGGCAGGTTTAACTTCACGCCTCGCCTGTATCAGCTGACCAGCAGTTCTGGGGAGTTCACTGCTGTGGAGTTTCTCTACCCTGCCAGAGACCCCGAGCAGGTCAACTCCATGCCTTTCCTGCAAGAGGACCTCTATGGAGCCTCACAGCCAGGTATCCGTGAAGTTCTGGGAATCAAAGAGGATTTCTGTTATCGTCTGACTCTATTTGTTCTGCTGTATTTGTCGTTCAGCTCTTTTCCTGGTGGACAACCACCATGAAGTCTACTTGTGGCAAGGCTGGTGGCCTCCAGACAGTGAAAGCACGGGCTCGGCCCGAATCCGCTGGGACTCTGATAGAAAGTGCGCCATGGAGACGGTGCTGCAGTACTGCAGAGGTATTTAAAGAAAAACAATCTGCAAGAGATGTTAGAAATGATGCCGTTTTAGGACTGCTCTGAACCGGTGGTGTTTGTTCATGCAGAGAAAAACGAGAGGAAACCTCCCAAAGCGTACCTGATCCACGCCGGCTTGGAGCCGCTCACCTTCACCAACATGTTCCCCTGCTGGGAGCACAGAGAGGACGTGGCTGAGATCACTGAGAGGGTGGGCTGAAGCCTCCCTGAACCAGAGAAACCAAACACCTGCTGAGATACTGAATGAAATGTCCTCTGTGTCCGCAGGAGGCTGAGGTGTGTAACCAGATCATCCTGGTGGAGGACGTGTTGGCCCGCCTGTGTCAGACCACCTACCCTCTGGCTGAGGTCCTGGCCCGGCCGCTGCCTGAGGGGGTGGACCCTCTGAAACTGGAAGTCTACCTCTCTGATGAGGACTTTGAGGTGAGAACCTGCGTTCTAACCCTAAATCACTGACGTTCATTTAGAAATCCTACAGATTCTTAGCCTGGACTTGGACTAGGCCGCTCCAACACATGCATAAGATCTAAAGGTTTTCACTGCAGCTTTCCCTGAATGTTTAGACCTAAAAGTCCAACTGGAAGATAAAGTGATGGATTGAAAATTCAAAGCTTGGGACATTTCTCTGTTGTCTAATCCTGCTTATAATCCTCCACTGCTTCCTCCCTGACCTGCCTCCTGTGCTCCTTCATTTATTCAGTAAAAATAGGAGTTAAAAATAACCTCAGCTCCCTGGTTTGTGCTGGGGTTTATTTATGGGAATCAAAGTGAAAGGGGCTGAATTATTTTAGAGATGTAGCTTTCTATACAGAGTAAATATATTCAAGTGTCTTAATATGTCTATTTTCCATTATTTTAAGCATCTAAATCAAATGATCTACCAATGGAATGATAGTTGTTTCCTCTAAAATACCATGATGGAGCTTAATTGTTTTTATTTGAAGCATAACTTATCCTATTCCAAATGTTCTTAATTACCTGCTTTAGTTAAGCAAGTAAAATGTACATGTGCTAATGTTTTAGTTTTGGCAGTAAATGTCCCATATCTTGTCTTAAAGCAGAGGTGCAGTCCGTGTCACAGAACCACGGTTATAGGTATTATGGAGGATTTTTTAAAAGACCCGTCCTCTCCACTTGGGAAAGAGCAAGAGCGAGCACAAGCCCATTTCTCTATGGAGGATAAAAAGTGCCAAAATTAAATAAGTAAATACAGCATTAAATAAGTGCCAATAATTAATTAAATGTGGAATTAAATAAATAAATGTGTCATTCATTCATTAAAACCACGTCACTAATATAAAGTGCCACAATTAAATAAATAAATACAGCGATAAACAATTAAATGTGAAATTTATTACATAAATAAGGAATTAAATATATAAATGTATCAATTTAATAAAATACGTCTTCATTTTATTGAAAAATATATATCTAATTATTTCAGTGTACATTTAATTATTTCATGGTCCTGTGCTGCAGTGCATCGAAACCATTAAAAGAATCTGTCAAACTCACCCATCAAAGTTAGGGGGCGGGGTTATCTAACACCTGATTGGTCACCCTGCACATTAAGGCGAAGCTAATCGATTACAGAGACTCGATTCGCGTTAACCCCGCCCCCTAATGGTTTCGATGCACTGCGACACAGGACCATGAAATAATTAAATGCACACTGAAATAATTATACATATTTTTTTAATAAAATGAAGACGTATTTTATTAAATTAATGACACATTTATATATTTAATTCCTTATTTATTTAATGAATTGCACATTTAATTAATTGTTTATCGCTGTATTTATTTATTTAATTGTGGCACTTTATATTAGTGACGTAGTTTTAATTAATGAATGACACATTTATTTATTTAATTAATGCTGTATTTATTTATTTAATTTTTGGCACTTTTTATCCTCCATATTTCTCCTCTTGCATGCCCTGTTTAAAATGTGCTGTTCTCATTCGGACAGATGTTCACTGCTTTTTGTTCCGTCGATCACACAAATCCTCCACTGCGCAGTTCCTGCGCCATCTTTGTTGTTAATCGCCGCTCTCGGGTAGCGGCAGCCTATGGTAACAGCGGGCCGCTGTGACAGCGTGAGGGGCTCTCTGCGCAAAGCATTCTGGGATATATCCGCCTCTTCTGAGGCCTTTCTTTTCGTCTCATACACTTCGTAGACACTTTTTCTCTTACGACTCTCGTCGTTTTTAAAAAACCCCAGTGAGAAAGACGAGCTACAATGACTGTCTGAAACCGTAGCTCACTACATATATACGCCTGAAACTGCACATGCACAGAAAAAGTTAGCTAACGGAACGAGAACGAAGGACGGCCTTACGTAAATATATCACCAGAATGATCGACAATTAGGAGAACCACTTATTGAGATGATCGACCGGGAAATAAAAGATCTTCCTCTAAAGCTTTAATGTATATCCAATGCAGAGCTAACCTGACTCCGCCAGATGGATTTGCTCCGCATATCCATCTGGAAACCTTCCGTTGAAGTAATTTTGGGAAGGGGCGAAAATACTGGTTAGCTGATTGGCCTATGTTGGTGATAGACGGGCCAAATAAACCAGATCAATGAAGCATATGACGTACTAACAGAGCGACGACGAAGAGGAGCCAATTGATAGATTAAACTCTTGCCAAAACCAGTCAGGAGAAGAGCAAAAACATCTTTTCCTCTGAGAAAAGCCTCCAGAGCAGTGTTTTGCTCTTCTTTCAGTGAAGAAATACTCTGTAATTCCAATAAAACTTGCTCGATAGCCACGCTAACGCTAGTTTCATCGGCTGAAGCCGCCATGTTCTTTAGACTGAACTGTCGCGCTTCTCGTTGCAGATCAGGATGGTCTCACGAGGCTAATGCAGAGCCCCACTTCATGACCAACCTGCGCATATTGCTCTGAAAATACAACAGCTAAAGGATTTGAATGCCAAATATCAGGAAACAAACATTTTTAAAATCGGGGACACCAGACAAACGTTACGGTCAGAGAGCTGTTTGTGCATTTTGCCCAAATTATTTTTCACTTCCATAAAGAAAGCAGTGAATTAAGCCGTGCATGTATGAAGAATTGTATGAAGTCAGAATTTACCCCAAAGTGCACAAGCATCACTCATCTAGCAGTTAAAACACGAACACATAAACTACTCTCTACATAAGTTTTTTTATGCAAATCATTTTTTCAACTAGTGGAAAAGTCAACTTTTTGGTGAATCAAATAGTGGACACTAGTTTATGTGCAGAAGATTTAAATAAAACTGCTTATATTGTTTTTTTATTGCACTTTTATTAGAGTTCTGACTTCATCCTTTTTAAGCTCAAAGAGGATCACCATTTTACTTTATCTCTTTTCTGCACCCCTGAACTCACACCATGGTTAAAGTACTTTTTAATGTTTTATAGATATTTTGAGTCCCGTTGCCCTGTTTGCTATATACTCTTAGTTTACAAATGGGGCGAGTCTGGCTGATTTACCTTGTGATTCAGATGTGGATTACTGTACTTTCACCGTGTCTCTTTTCCTCTCTGACTAGTGACATTTCAGCTGGATTCCTGCATAGCTCCAACCTAAATAGACCAGGGGACCTTCTCTGTCGACGCTACCAGGCGCAGTTAGAGAACCGTGTGCCGTCCGACCATTCCCATTCATTTTCAATAAGCTCTAAATGCCACAGCTTTATATGATCCGATATCCCGTCAGATCAGACGCTAAATCCTGTCTGGTGTTTTCAGGCCTTTACAGAATCAATTCAATCAAATCATAAACACAGACTGGATAAAAGTTTCAATTCAATTCAATTCAGTTTATTTATATAGCGCCAAATTCACAACACATGTCATCTCAAGGCACTTCACAGTTCAACCAGATCATACAGTCAAATTGATACAAAGTTTTCTATCTAAGGAAAACCAGTTGATTGCATTGACTCATTGACTCAAATACAATCCCCCACACTAAGCATGCTTGTAGCGACAGTGGAGAGGAAAAACTCCCTTTTAACAGGAAGAAACCTCCAGCAGAACCAGGCTCAGTGTGAGCGGCCATCTGCCGAGGCCGACTGGGGTTCAAGGAGACAGAAGCAGAGATACAAAAAGCAGCTGTAAAAGGCGGCCCCGTCCAGGAAACACACAGCCAGGCAGACGAGCTCCAAGGCAGCTCCCATGCCAGAGGACGAAGAGAGCACATCCACTCAGTCACGGTCAGAGAAACAGGACCACACTGGAAAACAGGCCGATCTCCAACATCTATAAACAAGGGTGTTGATAGAAGCAGCACAGCTGATGTTTCTCTCCAGGAGGACGTCACAGCCAAACAGGAACAGACGAGGCAAAGCTACTCTGAGGAAAAGCAGAGAGAGCAGAAGGTTAGAGATTGAACTAACAGATTCTGCAGAATAGGAGAACAGAGAGAGAATGAAGCAGAATGATGAAATGGGGGTCCCTATGTCCTCCAAAAGTCTAAGCCTATAGCAGCATAACTATAGAGATAGCTCAGGATAACCTGAGCCACCCTAACTATAAGCTTTATCAAAAATGAAAGTTTTAAGCCTAGCCTTAAAAGTAGACAGGGTGTCTGCCTCACGGACTAAAACTGGTAGTTGGTTCCACAGGAGAGGAGCCTGATAACTAAAAGATCTGCCTCCCATTCTACTTTTAGAAATTCTAGGAACCACTAGTAAACCTGCAGATTGAGAGCGAAGTGCTCTGTTAGGAACATAAGGAACAATCAGATCTCTGATATCAGATGGAGCTTGGCCATTTAAGGCTTTATATGTGAGGAGGATTTTAAATTCTATTCTTGATTTAACAGGAAGCCAATGAAGAGAAGCCAGGATAGGAGAGATATGATCTCTCTTTTTCATTTTCATTAGAACTCTGGCTGCAGCATTTTGGATCAGCTGAAGGCATTTAACTACAGTTTGTGGACTTCCTGATAGTAAAGAATTACAATAGTCCAGCCTTGAAGTAACAAATGCATGGACTAGTTTCTCAGCATCACCCCTGGACAGGATATTTCTAATTTTTGCAATGTTCCTCAGATGAAAGAAGGAAATTCTAGAAACCTATTTGATATGGGATTTAAATGACAGGTCCTGATCAAAAATAACACCAAGATTTTTTACTTTATTATCTGAAATCAGTTTAATCCCATCCAAATGAAGTGACTGGCTAATCAGTTTCTTTTTCAGAGACTCTGGTCCAAAGACTATAACTTCTGTTTTGTCTGCATTCAGAAGCAGAAAATTAAGAGTCATCCAGGTTTTTATGTCTTCAAGACATGCCTGTAATCTATGTAATGGGTTAGCTTCATCTGGATTTATAGACAGATATAGCTGGGTATCATCAGCATAACAGTGGAAATTAATCCCATGCTGTCTAATAATTCTACCAATTGGGAGCATGTATAAAGTAAAGAGAATTGGTCCTAGCACTGATCCCTGTGGTACTCCACAGGTAACCTTTGAGCGTGTTGAAGATCTATCATTAACATGAACAAACTGAATTCGATCAGATAGATAAGATTTAAACCAGTCTAGTGCTGTTCCTTTAATTCCAACAAAATATTCAAGTCTTTCTAAAAGAATATTATGGTCAACTGTATCAAATGCAGCACTAAGATCCAACAGGACGAGCACAGATACAAGTCCATTATCTGAGGCCATGAGAATATCATTAGTGACTTTCACCAGAGCTGTTTCAGTGCTATGATGAGCTCTAAAGCCAGACTGAAACTCTTCAAAAAGTTCATTATGGTGGAAGTGATCGCAAACTTGTTTGGCAACTACTTTCTCAAGAATTTTGGATAAGAAAGGAAGATTGGATATAGGTCTATAATTGACCAAGTCATCTGGGTCAAGAGACGGTTTCTTAAGCAGAGGTTTAATTACAGCAATCTTAAAAGCTTTAGGTACATATCCCTGTAACAGAGATAGATTAATCACATCTAAAATGGAGGAGGAGATCAAAGGGAATACCTCCTTAAATAACCTGGTTGGAACTGGATCTAACATACAAGTTGAAGGCTTAGATGAAGACAATAATTTTGCTAATTCAGAGAGTTCAACTGGATCAAAGCAGTCTAAACCCGGTTCAGATTCCATGACTACCTCAGGTACAATCGCGGATAGAGGAGTGCTTATGATCTTATTTTTAATAAGATCAATCTTATTTATAAAGAATCCCATAAAATCATTGCAGCTAAGAGCAGGTGGAATGGACGGTTCAACAGAGCTATGGCTCTGGGTGAGTTTGGCAACTGTATTAAAAAGAAATCTAGGATTATTCTTATTCTCCTCTATTAATGAGGAGAAGTATGCTGCTCTTGCTTTACAAAGGGTCCTCTTATACAGCAGTAAACCATTTTTCCAGACTAGGAAGGACTCTCGCAGGCCTGTGGAGCGATATTTTCTCTCCAGTTTCCTAGCATTTTGCTTCAAAGTACGCAGCTCTGCATTAAACCAAGGAGCAAGCTTTCTATTTTTAACGGTTTTCATTTTCAAAGGAGCTGCGTTGTCTAAGGCAATACGCAGAGAACTAGCAACCCCCTCAACAAAATCATCAACCTGTGAAGGGGAATAGGCTAAGCTTTTGCACTCTGCAGCACTGCTCAGTGACACAGAGCAGAGAGAAAGTGAAGCAGATTCTTTAAAATTTATAACTGCACTATCTGATAAAGATCTACTAAAATTGAACCTTCTTTTGGGGGAGGAGAACTCTGTTAAAGTAATCCTGAAGGTTATTAGAAAGTGGTCAGAGAGGACAGGGTTGTGAGGAAATACTGTTATTTCTTCACATTCTATGCCGTATGTCAGCACAAGATCCAAAGTATGAAGATGAGAATGCGTGGGACTATTCACATTTTGAACAAAGCCAATAGTGTCTAAGATAGCATTAAAGGCTGCTCTTAAGCTATCGCCTTCAATGTCAGCATGGATGTTAAAATCTCCCACTATGATGACCCTGTCAGTATTTAATACCAAATCAGAAAGGAACTCTGAAAACTCATCTAAAAATTCAGAGTAAGGACCTGGTGGACGATACAAAGTTACAAAAAGAAGAGGTTTTCTTGCCTTGAAATTTGGATCAGGGAAATTAAGGGTTAAATGTTCAAAAGAGTTGTAGGAATTAATTGTTTTGGGAGTAATCAGTAAGTCAGACTCGAAGATTGTTGCTACTCCTCCTCCTCGCCCAGAACTTCTGGGGATGTGAAAATTTAAATAGCTTGAAGGAGTTGCCTCATTTATGCTCACATAATCCTCTTGCTGCAGCCAGGTTTCTGTAAGGCAAAACAAGTCAATGTGATTATCACAAATCAAGTCATTAACTAGTAGACTTTTAGAGGAAAGCGATCTTATGTTAAACAGACCGCATTTAATTGTTTTAACTTTTTCCCCAATTGGAGTTATTTTGATTTTAATTAGATTATCATAATTTACTCCTTTGGGAATCTTTGCTAATTTATTAGATTTTGGTCGTGGGCAAGACACTGTCTGGATGGAGTAAAGAGTGGGTAACAGTAGAGAAGCTGCAGAGATGTGTGTTAAACTACAACTCTGCTTCCTGGTCTGCACCCTGGGTGGTCAGGGTTTTGGAGGACTAATAAATGTGGCCAGATTCCTAGAAAGAAGAGCTGCACCATCCAAAGTGGGATGGATGCCGTCTCTCCGAATCAGACCAGGCTTTCCCCAAAAGGATTGCCAATTATTAATGTAGCCCACGTTGTTTTCAGGACACCACCTAGACAACCAGCGATTGAATGACGACATGCGGCTAAACATGTCATCACTGGTCAGAAGTTTCCTGGTCAGAGTTTCCTGTCTAAGGGAAGCACAGCTGGTTGCATGAAGTCATCAGCGTCTGCATGGCAGCAATGCTGCAAACACTGTTTACATAAGCTTTCATCAATGCTGTGTCTTCCACACATTGTTTTTGTTTTTAATTATCCATTAAAGCATATTTTTTATGGTTTTTATAGTTTTTATAGTAAACAGTTTACTGTTCTTTGGATAAAAGAAAATTATAACATACTGACAGAATAACTGCAGACACCTTTTTATAACCCTTAGAGCTAAAAACGGTAATTAGTTTAATATCAGTCAGAATAAACTCATTCAGATCCAACCTTCAGGCTCTTAAGGCTGATTTTACTCAGAAACCAGGTCGCTCGTGTCATGTTTCCCTCCCTTGTCTCCGAAATCAACCTATTTCACTCATTTCACTTCTGCAGGGTGCAGGGGCTTATGGGAAGGTGAGTCCAACTGCCCTAGCATGGAAGACCGATTGGCTCCTCGCTTCTCATTTTTGCAAAACCACAAAAAAAGCAAATTTCCATTAACATGTTCAAAAAAGCGTCTTCATCCGCATGCCACCTAACAGACATTCACCGATGCACGAGTTTCTCACTACAGGATTGATTGTATTCAGGCATTCGATGTTCTGGGAGTTTTGGTTGGTCGGATAACCGTCATTTAAAGCAAAGAAGTAGATTTCTGGATTTGTAAATGAAATGAATAATTTTTAAGAAGTTTAGGTTTTGTGAGTTTTCTTTTCAACTCAACAAGAACAATTGAATTCAGAAATTTATCTCTGAGAATTTTAGAAATTATCAATACAGGTTAGAAAGTTTCCCGTTTCCGAAGCTCAAACCAAATATTTAACAGTATATGAGTACAAGTCACAAAATTATAAGTTTGTGTCACAAGTTTGCAAGAGGAAATCACACGTTTCTAAGTAGAAATCGAGAATTTAGAAATGGTAATTATGAATTTACGAGTATGAATAACAAGTTTGAAACATGGACTTAAAAATCTGAAATATGTGTTTAGAAAACGTATTAAAGCTTGAACCAAATTTATAGTAGAAATCTCAAATAATGGAATTGGGATTAAGAATTCACAAATTCAAGGCTACCTCTAAGATTCACATTTTAAATTCAGAAATTTGCCCTACAAATCTATAGACTAATTCCGTCTAAAATCGTTGTAGATTTGGGATTCATATTCATAAATTCATCAGTTTGATTTCTAACTTAAGTTCAGCATAAGTTCTCACAGATAAAGATCTGATGTTACATGAATCGAGCTGCATTGACAAGAAAAAAACACAAATCCTAAATGTCTTTACGTTATTGACTTTTATTCACACATTCAGACATCGATGCATTCATTTTTTGTTATCTGATCCTGATAGTTTTTTTTCCCCACAGAGAGCCCTGGAGATGAGTAGAGAGGAATACGGCGCTCTGCCTGCATGGAAGCAGGTGAAGCTGAAGAAATCTAAAGGACTCTTCTGAAAGAGCAGCATTCAGGATTTCTGTTGGGTTTTTTTAACAGCGGAAAGTCAGAAGCAGCTCGAACTTTTTGATGGAGAACCTCTGAGATGTGCAGTAGTGGTGTGCGAGCTTCTCACGCTGCGGTGACGAGTGGGGAAACGTGGGTGTAGGAACCTTGTTTATGGTTATGATTGTACATAGCTAGCATAAAGAAAGCAGCCATCTGCTGGATTGAAGCAGGTCTGTAAGCCTGCTGGACGCTCCTCTCTGCTCATGTTTGTGCTACAAAAATCATATTTTTATTAAATCCACAGAATTAAATAAAAAGAAATAAACTTTGTCTAATAAAAACAAAAATAATTGAACTTTATTGATCTCACATTGGAGAAATTTACTCTGCTTTTAATCCATTTAATCCATTCCCTTGGCCACACAATGGCAGCCCACACAGGGTCTTGCTCAGGAACCCAGAGCGAAGGCTTTGGGGATCAAACCAATTACTGCTCCAACCACTAGGCCAACACTACTCCAAAATAAAAGTCCAATGATTAATGTGAAGAGAACGGCCTGAAGAGGTGCCTTCAGTGTATAGTGCCTTGCTACATGTACAGTTTATATACAGAACCTGTTCTGGTTTGTCAAGAGTTTTACGATGAAAATAAACCGATAGAGAAATGAATAAAGTTTGATATCCAGTTTGTTTGTTGCACCTTATTGCTCTAAAATATGAGTTGAGCTGGTGGTATAAGGTTTTTTATAACTGGTTGTCACCCAGTTTAACCCATCAGATGGCAGTTCTAAGCTAAAGGTTTTTACACTGCAAAAACTGGCTTGAAAATATGTTTGAATATTTTAAATTAAATTAAAGCTGTTTTATATGAACAACTTGCAAACCAGCTTGGAGAACCATCAATTTATGGAAAGGTCCTTGAAGGACTGAAAAAAAAAAAAAGTCCTCTTTGGTTCATCCAGAGATTTGGCAGTACTTCCTTGTACCTGAGCGAAGTTGGCCCCCCACCTTCTTCAAATCAGACGAAATGGGTGTCGATTAACTCGGCTCCATTTGTGCAGCAAAAACGGATGTTAACTGACCTTTGATGACCTCTACAAAATATTAATATCATTGAAATGATAGTACAAATGAAAATTTTTGCCATACAAAAATATACAATTTTAAAATTGATTTTAAATATAAAATATTTAAAATATATTAGATTTTAAAATGTATAAATTTTTTTGTACTGCTATCATTTTAATAATTGTTTGTAGAAGCCATCAAAGGTCAGTGAACATTTGTTCATTCTGAAACTCTGAATTTCATAAAAATTATAAGTTGCTAACCTATGATTATATAATTTTAAACTAAAAAAACTATAAGCTAAAAATCTTTGCTGCACAAACGGAGCTGAGTTAATTGACACCCATTTCGTCTAATTTGAAGAAGGTGGCGGGGGCTGGTTGACCTTTGACCTCTAGAAAAAGGTCAACTAGCAATGACGGACCTGGCTCTGTTCTTGAGGGAAGGGAGAGTGTTGAACAGTCCTTCTAGTACTAAATCAAAACGTCTTTATTAAAAGCCTCATGAAGACCTCTTGAGAGCTTTCCTTACTTATCCTTTAATTAACATTATTTTCTGTTTTCCATTTTAAATGGAAAAAGCTTTTCCTGCAACCATTTGCTGATTGGCTGCCTTGTCGCCATTTCATTGAAAAGTTCAGCTCTTTTCAACTTCTGCCATTACCACACTGCTCTCTCAAAGCGGTGCTGCTGTTTGACAACACCTCAGTTCTATCTAGTAGCAGGAGGTGAGACAGAACGCCCTTACCGCATTTCACAATTGACCGCTTCCCCATCCTCCTGTGCAGATTGCATAAGGATACAGTGCATTTCCACCTTAACAGGAACACTTTTAGATCACGATCTTCTCCGCTCCCCCCACTAAGAGGAAAGGTGGTTTAACTCCCATTAGTGAAATCAGATTTTAAGATAGTAGCTTGAGTCACATTATTTGTACTCCATTCAGACTTAAAGGAATAGTACACCCAAAACATGATTAGCCTTCATTTTCTACTCACCCCCATGCTGAACAACACTCTGGAGTACTTTTTTGATATCTCAAATGCATCTGGAGATCTGGGAGGCTTCTTGCTGTCTGCTGACATTCAAATAATGGAGGTCTATGGCGCCCGAAGCAGAAAGGTCCATAAAAGTCCACAAAAAACGTGTCAATATTCCTCCATACTGCTCGTTCAATGTATTCCAAGTGTCCTGAGTGGGTAGCGTCCATAATTTACTCGAAACTAAGTCATTTAGAATGTTTTTAGAGCATAAACAGTAGTGTATAGGATTTCCTAAAAGCGCGTTCACGAGTCTACGGAAACCGCGGCAGACCAAACCAGATGAAAGTGCGCATTCAGCGTCTGCTCTTGATAATGCAAGCGTAGAAGAAGAAATGTGCTGTTTACCTGTGCAAAGAAAGAAACAACGAAAGAAAAATGTCTGAGGACTTCAGTGTTGAGGAAGAGCATGAGTTCTTTGCCGAGCTGAATGCGCACTTTCATCTGGTTTGGTCTGCTGACCTATTTTCTTAATTCAATTCAGTTTATTTCTATAGCGCCAATTCACAACACATGTCATCTCAAGGCACTTTACAGTTCAACCAGATCCTCCAGTCAGATTGATTCAAAGTTTTTTATCTAAGGAAAACCAGTTGATTGCATCGACTCATTGACTCTTCAACAATCCCTCACACTAAGCATGCTTGTAGCGACAGTGGAGAGGAAAAACTCCCTTTTAACAGGAAGAAACCTCCAGCAGAACCAGGCTCAGTGTGAGCGGCCATCTGCTGAGGCCGACTGGGGTTCAAGGAGACAGAAGCAGAGACACAAAAAGCAGCTGTAAAAGGCGGACGAAGAGAGCACATCCACTCAGTCACTGTCAGAGAAACAGGACCACACTGGAAAACAGGCCGATCTCCAGCATCTATAAACAAGGGTGTTGATGGAAGCAGCAACCAGGTGCATTGCCATTGCTTTTGCATTAAAGTTTAATTAATGCGACAGCTTGATGTTAAATTTCTTCCGGTGTCTTACAAAGAAAAAGAGACGGTAAATCCAAAATTAAAAAAGCTTTGCCATCATTTTCTAAGTCTTAGTGTTATCTTGAAATATACTTTCTTTTTTGTTTGTTTTCCATTAGTTTTTATATTTCTCTGCGTCATGTTCCTACCTTTTACACCAATGACTCGGTACTTGAATCAGTGACATGGCATCGACTCCACTTGGAAATATCTGATATTCTACTCTGAGTTTAAAACCCCTGTTATTTGTGCTCCATTAATTCACTCATCCCATATTAAAAATGCAGACTTTATTTCTGTATTTCAATACTCTGGACATATGTGTGAGTGATCTGCTGGACAGCCAATCAGATTGACTCGGCTTGAGGATAAAGACTGCTTACTTGAGACTTGCAAAGCAATGACTTGGTCCCACCTCTGCTTATTTTACATGACTTTGTGCGCATTTATCACAGACTCCAAGCGAAAACATCTGAATGTTATTTTACAAGCTGGCAAGCAGCCCCACCAAGTAGTCAAGCAAACCTGGGAGTGGATAAACAACCAAGCTGCTTGCAGATTTTTATTTTTTCGGGGCTTTTTTTCTTTTTACAGTATCATGCGATTCCCGGAGGCTGAAACATGTTTAAGGAACGGTCGCAGGGCTAGAGGTATGTATATACTCTTCAGGTCATCGGCTGCATGAATTTGGTGAAACGCTCTGATGCCTCCATGAAGCAGCAGATGAAAGCTCCATTCAGCACCACGAAGCTGAATTTCCAGGCCCCTTTCCAAAAGTTTGCACTGAATGCTCTCAGATGTTCCTGTTGTGTGTGTGTTTACTCCCTGGCCCATCTGGAAGAATAAGCACAATTAGAGGAGATTTCATGCAATCACAAAGGAGCAATATACAGATCTTTCGTGTCCATCTGCAGGAGGAAGGAGTCGGATGCTAAACTGGGATTATTCTGTTTCACATCCCACCTCTGAACTCCTCTGGTCTGTTTGAGGAGTTTGATGTGGCAAAACGGAGCAAATCCACCCACCTCCTCCTCCAATCCCCTCTGCATCTCCAAGGTGAAGGTGGGATGTGCCATATTCGTTACTCTGGTGCGTTTTTGACTCTGAGCCCAGTTTCTTTGCAGAGCTCCAGCGAGCTTTTCTCTTCACACATGCAATCTCTTTGTAGGACACGGTAAAAGGAAATCAGAGAAACTCCAACACACCCATACAGTATAAAGCCAATGTAAGATGATTTTATGCATTATTGGTTAGAAAAATCTTTAAAAGCTCTTTAAAGAAAAACAAAAGGGGATGGCAATACCTATTCTAACCAAAGGTTTAACAAATGGTAGGTAATAAAAAAATAAATTTGAGAAGCTCCTGTAGCAACAGTCATCCTTACTAGCCTCAAACATCTTATGCTACGTTGACACCTAAAGCAGCAGAGGCTAGTTTACATGCAAAATCAATGGTTGACGCGCATCTTGGTGCAGCAAAAGTACTTGCCGTGTGTTTTAAGCAGCAGGAACAGCACATCTTGACGCATCTGAGCAGCGCCTCAAAAGCTTCCGAGCATCTGATGCGCGTGACGTGCTGTGAAAGCAGAAGCTGCTCGAGTTGGAAAAATTTAACTTTTGCTGCTTGAGGCGCCGCATCAACCAGTCAGAGAGCTGATCATGGAGCTGGCAGGGAGACGGACACAGCACTGCTGATGCAGAGCGCTATGATCACTCCTCTGGAACAGACTATTAACGCCTAAATTAACTTAAAATGTCGAAATCTGCCAGCAAAATATGTTCGCTTTTATTACTCAGGTGCCTGCAGTTTGGATTACGTACGTGAAAAACGCTAACATCTACTTCCAGTCGTCATGAACAGTAGCAGCAAAGAGGCGACCGGGCCAGAGGCTGCTGTTGAAGGGGATTCCTAGCGACAGCGCACCGCCGATGTACAAAGCAGGAGGGTAAATCTTGATTAAGTGACTGAACAGATTATGTTTTCAGGTGGACTTCCTCACCTAACGACTTACTAAAACTACTTTTTACCCCCTTATAACAGCAAATATAGCTACCATTGTTACAGGCAAAGATAGGATAGGGTAGCGCTGCCCAACGCGCATCAGATCCACTTTTCGACCGTGCAGCTAGAGCAGCTAAGATTCTTCAGCCGTGCGTCAGAACTAAACTTGTACAAGCATCAAAAATGAAGCAGCACCCGCGTTTTTGCTGCTCCTGCTGCTTGCGGTGTGAACATAGCACCTGTTTTTCGCGTTGGCGTTCAAACACTCGCACAACATTTACAATTTTAGCTCTCTGCATCACGACTTGCACAGCATTAAGGAGTAAAAAAAACAGCATTCGACTTATTCATGGGACTGGAGGATGGATGATGAGATGGATAGCTGTAGGGGGGAAGCTGTCCTTGAGCTTGTTTGTTGCTGTCCTGATGGTTCTGTACCGCTTTCTTGAAATCTAGGTCTGATTTATAGTAGCATTTAAACACAGGATGCTCAGGGGCGGAGCTAAATTGAAGGCCACCACTATGTGATTCCTCTACTTTCAGTTAATTTAAGTGCAATTAGAGGAAGAGAGGAAATGAAAAATAAGTTTTATTGACACTGTCTCACAGAATACT